GGTGCGCAGCACTCCAAGGAGCACCGATCCCACGTCGGCCAATTCAAGACTGACCTTCACTTTCATTTCGCCGCAAGGTTTTAACACCCTTTGACTCGCAGTAGACAAGCACTCCGCAATCCGTGTTTCAAGACGGGTCGGAAACGTCGTCGACTTTCACACCGACGTCACACACACTAGCGTAACTAAACGCTAGCCACCACGAACCAACGACCGATAACAAGACACCGACTGTTGCGAGCTGGGCAACACTATCGGGCCAGAACGAGCGACCAACGCCGTCGGCGTAGCATAGGAGTACGACATCCGGCGACGATCACAACTCCGTAACGGATTGATCGCGAATCACCTGTGTTGCGTCTAACTAAAAAAACATTCTGCAGACTGAGAACGACGCCTGAGGCATATAGCTGTATAGTTTAGAACGATCCGCTGGTGAAACTCACTTCAATCAAACATGGAACTTGTCGTTATGGAGTTTTTTGATACCTGAAATTTAAAAAATTTCTTGAAAAAGATCAAGAAGAAATAAGAGAGCAGTCGTTTCGTTGGGTTCTTATGAATAGTATATATCCGTTTATCCCGTTGAATGTGTTATGAAGAGGAGAATCAAATAGTGACGAGTCGAAAAAAAAAGAAAGGGATAGAGGATGGAGATGGAAAAAGTTAATTGGTTTTAGAAGGAGAAAAAGAAGGAGATGCTTGCTCCAGTGCACACTTTTGGTGAAAAACACTGGTCCCCCGTGTTGACGTCATCAGAAGTGACTGGTTTCGCAATGTTTTCAGAATGTTCCCTTTTTTGTGACAGCTAAGAATTTAGTGTTTTAGGATTAGGTTTTCCAATTAGATGGACACAAGGGCACTGGAGAATGGGGGTATTATTGCTAGAACAAAAGATGATGAAACACTGCGATGGGGAATATATTATCGTTCTCTGAGAAAAAATAGGTTGAGAGCTCATATCTCGTAATTTTTTCTTAAAATAAATCGTAAGAGCGATCTCTTGAGCCTTTTTTTTTTTTTGATTTCCTGTTTTCACAATTTTTTGTCGTTTTTTTATAAATTTCATTCAGTTTTTCCGGCTTACATCGAAAGAAACTGTGAAAATCATTGAAAAATTGAGAAAATAGGAAAATAACTTTTGAAATAGGCTCAAAAGATCGCTCTTAATCCTTGAAGAAAAATTTAACAAAATATGCAAAAATTATAATTTTCAGCTGTAAAGTTTAAGATGAAGACTGGACTAAATTAAATTTGATTATTGTTTTTTTTAATAATTGAGGTCATCCAGAAGAGACTCTTAATATGAAAAAAAAACACAGTTTTCACAATTTGAATTTTGTCATTTTTTAAAGTTGTGATTATAATTTTGAACCTTATATAAAATTTGAAAATTGAATCCGTATTTTTCACCAGAAATTGATATCGTACATTGTTCGAAAATCCTTAATACACCGTAAAACCTGTAATAGAAGGGCCCCTATACTGTCATGTTTGAAAATTTTCCTTGGCTCCTATGCAAGATATAAACTTTTTGTTAAATGATAAAATGTTTGCAATATTATGATATATGATAAACAATTTTCCAGTTCACACCTTTTTAGTATCTTGGTTAGGAATCGAGAAAAAAACCTTAAATTTAGAAGTTAGGGGACCTTCTATAACAGGTTTTACGGTATCTAGAACCACTGAAAATGGAAACACTTAATTGAAACAAAACCATCACCCATCAGTCAAACGTATATATTTAGTTTTTAACCGAAATTGTTTGATATAGAAAACGATTTTTTTTTCATTTAAAGTGTCTTTTAGAGCTTCAAAAATAGATATACATTACTTTTCTTGCTTTGCAATTCAAAAGAATCTATCAGAGTTTGAGATAATCGGACTGCTACAACACATTCAAAGTTTTATCTGCTTCAATCTTCCAAAAAAAAACTACAGTCGGAACGAGAACGTTAGGATATTTTGAGTGATCATAACATCCGCAAACCATTGTGAAGTCGGAAACCAAATCTCGCAAATATTTTTTCAGATGGAAACGAAGAAAACTACAAAAGAGAAAACTAGAAAGCGGATATATGTGTATTGGAGAAGATTGGACGTAAGAGGAAGAAGAAAAAAAAGGGAAACAACGTCGTCTCTCTTCTTCTGCTCCATCAGAGTCTTCGTCGGAGCCCATCGACATTTCTGTGGAAGCAAGGCGAGAGCTGCTTCTTTTTCACGAGACCTCCTCCTCCTTCTCTTCTTCTTCTTATCGTCGTTGCTCATCGGGCAAAAAGTGTGAGACGCAGAATATTTTGGACGTTGGGGACGACGACTTCAAATCGATTCGTCGTTGTGTGCCGCCTGACTCTCTTTTTCTCTTTTTTCCTTTTCGAGAAAAGCGGCTAGAGAATAAAAGGGAAAAGTGTGGAGGCGGGGGAAAGAGGAGAGCAACTATAGCATTGCTCCAATAGAAGAAACTTTGTCTTCTTCTTCCGAAAAAGAAACTAGAATCGATAGACTTGAAAAGGAACAGAAAAGAAAGAAAAGCGACAAAAGTATTCAAATGACATTGAGCATTCTCTCTCTTTTTAAGAAATGCACTTTGTGTTGTAATGGAAAGCGTAGTTCAGAGGGAAGCTAGAAGAAGATAAATGAATTGAATGAGGAGTCAAAATGAATTTGTGGTCTTCTATGAGCTAGTTAGTATTCCAAGAAAGAGCAATGTTTTCTTCTTCTTCTTTTAATTTAACTTTCTAAACCGGAATGATACTTTCTCAGAGTATGGGATCTAGAATTGCATTGTCATTGGAGCGAAGAAAATATTTATCTGAAATTAATATAATGTGAAAAAATTTGAGGATGAAAAAAAGAAAAATGTATCAACGAGTTGGGCATAGATGAAAACCATTCAATTTATTTTCGTATCATAATAGAGTTGTGCAGAAATATAAACAATTTGGAAAGAGAGTCGGTGTTATGGAAGTTTCAATTTCCTTGATCCTAAACATAAAAATTCAAAATACCCATTTTCTGAAAAGACTCATCCTTGCTGGTAGACTTGTCTTTCTCTATGATCAGATGGTTTTCCGGGGCTCACGGTGCGTCTCTCATTATTACACATATCTGAAAAACCACCAAACAAAGAAGTCGTGTTGAATTTATGTTAACTGAAGAAATTCAAAAAATATCAATATAATTTTATTGTAATAAATTAGAAAGCAATAAATAAATAAAAGGAAAACGGCAACAAAAAAACGATCACAATTTTTTATAAGTATCCATATTGGTCAGCTCGGCAATTTTCTTCTCAACTTCTGGGTCTCGGGAAGTAACTGTTTCAGCAGCAGATGCATCATTGGGAATAGGATCCTTCATTCTCATACTGTACCAATCTCCATAATCTTCATCTCCATTTCCATTATTATTTCTATTGTTATTTCCATTATTTCCATAGTTTCCATCATTTCCATTCCAGTTATCACCACCATTTCCATTATTATTTGATTCCCAATTTCCATTTCCATCATTTCCATTGTTATTATTGTTTCCATTGCTACTTCCCCATCCTCCATTATTATTGTTCCAATTGTTGTTTCCATAGTTTCCACCATTATTTGAAGATGCCCATCCATCATTGTTACCATTGTTATTGCTATTGCTGTTACTTCCGTATCCACTATTTTTTTTGTATCCTCCAAAATTATCATTGTCTTGATTTCCATTTCCATTCCATTTATTGCTACCGTATCCTCCTTCTGATCCTCCATTATCATTATCTTGTCCATTTCCCCAATTATCACTTCCTCCTCCATTATTATTCCAAGATCCTCCAGAATTTTCGCTGTTTCCTTCTCCGTTACTGCCCCAATTGTCGTTATCAGTATTTCCACCATTTGATCCTCCATTCCAATTATTACTCAGATTATCTCCATTATTGCTTCCACTTCCCCATTCGTCTCCTCCTCCATTACTTCCTCGATTTCTTCCATAACTGTTCTCACTTGGTTTCCATGATCTCTCATTTCCATAATTCGAATCTCCATTTCCTCCTCCTCCTTGACCTCCTTGATTTCCCCAATTTTCACTATTTCCATTTCCTCCTCCTGATCCTTTCCATGAGTTCCCATCATCATTGTCATTGGTTCCCCATGAATTTCCGTAATTGTTATTGTTGTTGTTCTTGCTGTTTCTGTTTCCATTGTTACTGTAGCTATTCCAGCTGTCATCATTATCGCCTGAAACATAAAATCGCATATATTTCTTTAACTGTATTTTTGGAAATTTCTAGATTCCTAGTTAGTCTTTTAGTTTTCAGAAGTTACATTTCGAATGAAAATTCTTTTTAAAAACTCAAACTCGCGAAAAAATTAGATGTCTAGACATGTCTTCGAAAGACGCCATCGAAAGCAAAAAAAAGCTAAACAGGTCGCGAATGGGGACGAGGATTTGAATACTTGCGCAGTGAGAAATCTAGGCCACGGCGGCGGGCCGGCTTCACTTTGAGTGGCGGACCATGGTTTTTTAAAAACTAGGTTTCTCATTTCGTGCAATTTCAAGTTTTCGTCCTTTTTCCGGGGATTTTGGACTTTTTGAATAAATTGGTAAGGGTATTAAGAAAACACATAAAATTGGAATCATTTTTGTGCAATAAAAATTTTTGGTCAAAGTCCCCTTTCAAACTAGTATACTCTTTTTTTTCACTTCTCAACTCACCGTTATTCCATCCACCTCCTCCTGATCCATTTGATCCACTGTATCCATTTCCGTTTGAAGATGATCCAGAATTCCAGTTATCCTGGTTATTACCATTTCCAATTTCATAATCATCCCCATCTCCATTCCTATTTCCAAACTTGGTCATTCTGTTATTTTTATTAGAATTTGAATTAAAGTTATTGTTATTGTTCCAATCATCATTCTCTCCATCACTATTTCTTGATGATCCGCGCCATCCTGATCCTGTGCCTGCTCGATTGGCGGATGATTGTCCTTTTGCCGTATCGACACTTCCTAAACATTTTTCTAAATTGAGACCTATCAGAAGAACAGGAATATCCTACCGTAACTTCCAAATGTTCTTTTTCCACTTCTGGTCATTCCTCCCATTCTTTCTCCAGGGAGAGAACTCTGAGATTCAGGAATTCCTTGGTAACCTCTGAAATAAATGGATTACGGTAACGCTTTGAATGTTCTCACTCACGATGAATACGGATTTCCAGTTGAAGATCCACCTCTTCTCGAGAATGTAGTTCCAGTGTTCGCATTACCTCTTTCAAATGCTCCTAATCCAAATTTCTTTTTTCCTTTTGATTTTATTGTGGAAATCGCAGGAAAAGCAGCTACAACAATTGCACCCTGATCACGAGCAACTTTTGAAAGATCAACGAGAGGGGTGGTATCTGCAAAGACTAATTAAATTGGAAGAATTTCGTTTTATTCTCAAAACTGGGACCTAGTTGATTGTATAGAACAAGCTCACTGAAATCTTTTTAATCTAATTTCAATGCGCGTTGCAGCCGAAAATCCAAAGATGGGCGGATCTTAGGTCCGGTAGCGAAGTCCATGTAATTTTAGTAAATGTTTTCTGGCCTAGTTTCTCGATTTTTCAATAAATATCATCAATATTATACTTTTTAAAACCATAATCCGACAAATCGAAAAAATCGAAAAGAAATTTCGCTACCAGACCTAAGCCCCGCCCATCCTAAGACTTTCGGCAGCAAAGCGTATTGAAATTCGAACAGAGTAATACAAAAATTATATTGCAAAACTACCGTAGTCGTATAATTTCTAGTCGTCTTAAGGCATTTCAAGTTATAGCAGGAATTTCAACATTATAGCTTTCCGAGTCTTTCATAAAGAATCATTTAAACTTTTAGTTAGAAATATTTTTACATTAATTAATACTAGGTATCATCAATCAGGAACAAATGGAAAGTAATTATTATTGAAGGTACCGGAAAACCTGTATTAAAAGGGCCTTCTTCAAAAATTGATGTTTGAAATTAAAAACTTGCGTACGTTTTCAGTTTAAAATGTTCCGGAAATTCCACAATTTTACAAAAATATGTTCAAAAACTATTATCGCTCAAAAACTTGCTCAATTTTGTAAACTTGACTGATTTTCATGAATTTTGAACGAGAATTCACTCTATTTTTCTATGAAAAAGTGATCGGAAAAATAGAAGAGACCTCTATTTAAAGGGCCCCTGTAATAGAAGGACCCTCCATGGTATCTCGGAACAAAAGAAGGGCCGACCCTTCTAATACAGGTCTTACGATATTCCAAAAAAGAAAGTTGGAAAACAAAAAACTAACCACTTTTAACTGTCGACTCGGTAAAGTTAGATTCACAAAGTACGGAAGCAACAAGGAATGTGAAATACTTTATGTTCATATCAAAATGTGATTATTGGTGTAATGTTTGGAAATGCACACATTATATAGCCGTGCCAAAAACTCGGCCGGATCTCTTCCGGATTCGAGAAAAGGGCTTTGTTTGTGTTTCGATTTGACAGGATGGCGGAGATTTTCACGAGGTTCAATGAACATAAAAATGGTTATGGGGATCAGAATTCTTGAAAACATGATTTCATTAGAGAGATATACTGTAGGCAATGAAGTTTTGATTCGTCGAAACGTGTGGTTGGAGAAGAAGGGGAGCAAAGATCAAGACAGCGTGGAGGGATTCGTTTCTGAAATTATAAAAAATTTAATTACTTAGTTTTTGGAATAGAACCATTACCTGATTACAACAGTCCTGATGATCTAAATTTTTCGATGCGCAGAAATGAATAATCGAAAGAGAAGTCCTGGGACATCGGTTGGACTTCGAGAGCAATCGAAATATTGATGACACATTGTAACTGTTTGATGAACAGAAACCCATGCATCTCTCAGGCAAAAAGTGGTCCAAACAACATCTTTTCATTCTTTCTGATTCAAAATCCTAGAAAAATAAATACCGTAGAACCTGTAATAGAAGGGCCCCTTTTCCCTTTGCGCCAATTTAGCTCGGCTCGAGTCGCTACGAACGGAAGCCTGCAATCCAAAAAATGCGCCAATTCAAAAATATTTTTTCGAAACGTCCCGGAAAAAACACCGTGTCGGCTCATGTCAAAGATATCCGAAAGTCGTCAACCGATAAATTGTTTATCATAATATCACAATATCATAGTTTTCGGTTGACTTATTTTCAATATCTTGCAGAGGAACCCAGAGAATTAAGCTCAAACTTGACATTATGAGGCCCCATTATCACTCACACTATTTTGTAATTGTTTGATTTTACTTGCAAATGCCCTTCCACCAACACATCTATTCAATCTACAAATGTATCCCCGTTGACAACTGTTTCTTTTTAGACATTCTGTATGAACAACTGGATGTGGCAGGTTCAAACTTTCAAGACTTGGAGGACACTAGAAAGGGGATTACTGTAGACACAATTGCTAATCAGTAACTTACACCAAAAGAAATGTTTATTAAAAAGAGAAAGAATATTGGAAGATCACAATTGGACATGAGAAAATAAAGAAGGAATACAATGATTCAATATATATGAAATCCTAAATAAACATCCCTACGGGGATCACAAACAAACGAACAATGCATTTAGAAAATGAGAACATATTCGAAAACTAGAAAAAAGCGGATATGTTGGAAAAGAGAAATAAGGTTATGAAAAAAAAATGGATAGTATTATTCTGGTACACAAAAAATCGGAGCTGTGGAAGAGAAAATCTGACGACCGTTGGCCGAAGGTCACACAATGACAACTACCGTAACCTGAAAATATTTTTATTTTCAGGATTTATTTCGATTTTCGTTTCAAGTCATTTTTTTCACTTTGATTTTCAGATTTTTTTTTTGGACAAATATCAGAGAACTCGACGAAAAGCAGTGATAATCGAGAAAACAAATCCGAAAATGAACATATTTTTGGGTTACGGTAGTTGTCTCTGTGGGATCTTCGGCAACCTCCGCCAGCGTTTCTCTTCCACAACTCCGTATTTTTTATAAATACTAGAATAATGAATCTTTTAGAACTTAACAAAAAATACATTTTGTGACTTGGAGTTCATCTTTTCGGAAATTGCATTGAAAGTTATTGACAGTCCCAATCATAAGTCTTCCCAAAAACGTGATTTTGGACTGCTTATCACCAATTTTCTGATTACGAGGTGCTAGTTGTCTGACTTCATATTGTTTCCCATTGAATTCCAGAAATGACAGCTGCCCAAAAAGTGGAAGCGAATTTGAGAATATTGCCAAAATATCTTATTTTTGTTCATTCGGGTGTCGCATTCATTTCCTTCCCTGTTTTTCCTGATTCACCATTTTCAAAGTTGTTTAAATACTTCGTTAAACGAACATTGATCTAGATAGTGTACCTTTTATACATTAAAGCTTTATATACAGTAATATACTAGAGTTCTGATCTCACTTCGCTTGTTCAGTTCCATTGTACTCGTGCAGTCCACCATCCCTTCAGAAGTTTCTTAACAAATCACTCTCCTCTTTCAATTAAAAAAAAAACTTGATTACTTTAAGATCACTTGGGAAACCAACCTAGGTACTGTACGTTGTAGTCTCTCCTCATGTTCTATCTGGTAACCTGTCAACGTGAGAAATTTGATAAATTTCTAGGTTTTCATGCATCGGTTAGAGCGCAATTGCATCACTTCCCGCACATGAGGGGGTTTCCCCGCGTAGCGCCATGTGATTTTCAGTGGTCACAGAGGAAGCCGAATGTCTGCGCTTCTCCTCCTTCCGTACTCTCTTCACCTATCGATTTTCGCCTGGCTGCCTTGTGTCCGTTTTTCGGTCTCCTCTCTCACCTCTTTTCCGTCTCGGTATCAATGTTTGTTTCGATGCGGCGACAAGGGGGACGTCCGACGGCGCGACCAAGATGAACCGAAACTTGGTGTCACATTTTTATTTCCCGATGGCCGTTTTTTTCCTGTTAGCACGTGGTCTTGAGACGAAAAGTTTTATCGGTTCACATACAATAAAATCACTCGGCTGTGTCTCCAATTTTTCTCTAACTTTCTTTTTTTTCTTATTTGCTTTAAGGGTTAATATAATAGATATTTTACTCCTTCGGTGTCGAGTCTGGATAGACTTTTCAAAAATCAGGAAATGTGAAATTTCAGTCATTCAAGTTCAATGACATCATCGTCATTCTCGATTCCGTTTCGCAACCACAAAAATGACACATTTTTTGAACTTTCACACGTATTTTTGTCCGGAAACCCACAATACAATTCCCACTTTGATTATGAAAGAGTTGATTTTCAAGAAAATGTTTTCCCAATAGACTGAAATCTAGTTTCACATTTATATACTTTTCCAATTCTCAACGATGTTTCCAATTTGGAAATTCCAAAATAGATTTTGCACAGAAAAACCGCAAGAGGCGGTTTTTTTTCAGTTCTATCAATACCGTACAACCTCATTAAAGGCGCTCTCTTGGAATTGCAACTGCGCTGCAGGACACTGCACTCTTTAGAAAGAATTACGGTTGCAAAAATGTTTACTCTAACTATTTTCTCAAATTTGTTTCGACTGATAGTAAGCTATTTACTTCGATTTTTTTTGAATAGGTTGAATAATCTTGAAATTCGATTAACTGTTTTTAAAAAAGTTCAGTGCTTCAAAAACGTTTCTTGCCGACACAGAGAAGAACATCTCCCCCGATTCCTCTTTTGAAAGGCATTTAATTTATCGTTTGATCACGTGACACGTGCTCTCTTGGTCTTCTCAACAACTTCAAGAAGAACAGGTAACAATGTGGTCGATGTGATAACCTTGTTCAGCCTTTCTACCAATTTTCGTTCACATAGTTTTCCGATTTTCTCTCTTTTCATCTTTTTTTACACTTTCCCCATTTATCGTTCAAACATCGCAATTTTACTCACCCTGAAGTTCTTTGTTCTTTTTTTAAATTTTCAATCTTTTTTTTCAGAAATATGGGACAAACACTGAGTGAGCCAGTTACCAAAAAAGAGTCGGCGTCGTGCGCCAACGAAAACTATCTAGTTGGTAGCAGCTGTATGCAAGGATGGAGAGTTGGTGAGTTGGGTTCAAATTGAGCTTTTTTGCTAGCAGATGAGCGGAAACACGACGAATAGAAGCTTTGTTTTATGAATGTCTCATCAGATTCTAATTAGCTTCGTTTTAAAAGAAAAATCTAATGAGTGCATGAAGGTGCACTTAATGAGGTACGAAAAAGATGTGATTCATTTATAAAATTGAGATGGAAGATCTATTCATTTGAAAATAGTTCTTTGAAATAATTGAGTTTTATATGAAAAACTTGCATCTATAAGGAACTGATATTATACACAAAGCTAAATTTTTCAGATATGGAAGATGCCCATACCCATCTTCTCTCACTCCCAGACGATCCGAAATGCGCATTCTTCGCTGTTTACGACGGACATGGTGGATCCAAAGTGTCACAATACTCCGGAATCAATCTTCACAAAAAAGTGGTCGCTAGAAAAGAGTTCTCCGAGGGAAATTTGAAAGAGGCTATCGAGAGAGGATTCTTGGATTTGGATCAACAGATGAGAGTGGATGAAGAGACAAAGGACGATGTCAGTGGAACGACAGCAGTTGTTGTGTTGATAAAGGAGGGAGATGTTTATTGTGGTAGGTTTTCAAAGTGACAACTTTAAACTTTGACCTCGAATCGTCAGGAGATTTTAAAAGATTGGGATTGAGATCACGAAATATTTTTTCTTCAAATAATGATACTCCGATTCGGGTTCTAACCTAAATGCTAACCAAAATTCTTCTAGGTAACGCCGGTGATTCTCGTGCCGTTTCATCAGTTCTCGGAGAAGCTCGTCCACTATCCTTCGACCATAAACCATCTCATGAGATCGAGGCTCGGCGTATTATTGCTGCCGGTGGATGGGTCGAGTTCAACCGCGTCAATGGAAACTTGGCTCTCTCCAGAGCTCTCGGTGATTTCACATTCAAGAATTGTGACACAAAGCCAGCTGAGGAGCAGATCGTTACTGGTAGATATTTTCTTTTTTAATCTTCGAACCAATGGTTTCTTTTAGCTTTCCCTGATGTCATCACTGACAAATTAACCCCGGATCATGAATTCATTGTTCTGGCATGCGATGGTATTTGGGATGTAATGACAAACCAAGAAGTTGTCGATTTCGTCCGCGAGAAGCTCTCGGAGAAGAGAGATCCACAATCGGTTAGTATTTGGAAAATTTTTCATTTATAGCATGTATGTTTTCAGATCTGTGAGGAACTTCTCACACGGTGCTTGGCTCCAGATTGTCAGATGGGCGGTCTCGGATGTGACAACATGACAGTATGTTTCTCTTTTTCTTTTAGTCTCTCAATTATTTTGTTATAGGTTGTCATCGTCGGACTTCTTCACGGGCAATCTCCAGACACTCTCTTCTCGAAGTGTGCACGCCCAGCCGTGTTCACGGGCGTTGTAAGTTTTCATTATTGAACACTTCATCTAGTTATTAGTAAGTTGTATCCATTACAACTTTTTAGAACATTCCATCTAAATACTAACCAAAAGAGTGTCTGTAAATCAGAGATACGACGAACAAAACGAAGTGTTTCTTTTTGAAGAGTAACGAGGATGGAGGTCAGATTCAACAAGATATTTCGCGTGTGATAAACAACTTTGACGGAGGTTTTAGTTGAATTTAGGCCGAGTTCTCATAATTATTATAAAATGATTTCAGAGCAACGGGTAGTGAGACAAGAGGAAGAGGATGATGATAACGAACCAGCACCAGCCAATTTCCGAGTCTAAATTTCTAGTTTTTCGGGTCATATTCGACAGAATTGTGTCAAACGAAATGGAATTATTTGTTTTATTATAATTGAATTTTCATCGAATTTTTCTTTTTTCCCTGTGATAGAAATCTTACACAAAGTTCAGTTATCACGTTTTCCCTCTGACTCACAAGACTCCTCCCCACATATTTTTCTTATAGAGTACGTTTCCCATGTAATGTTGCATGTCTTCTATAGCATTTTGTTCCTTTTTCCAGCTGTCTTCCTTGTAACCTATACATCCCCCCCCTTTTTCATTCACACGTCTTCCGGTTTCCTCTGAAAACAATTTCTAAATGCCAAGCTCTCTATAGAATTGTAAAGAATCGATTTCAAAATGTGACGAATCGACTGAAGATACTGCTGACATGATTTTGTGTCAGATGTTTCCCCATACTCTCTCACGTTCCTCACTCTTCCGCCAACGTTTGCATATCTCCTATTCTTTTTTGTTCTATTTGTTCTATGATATTTTCGCTGTCCACTTTCCATGACGCGTCTATCTTTTTTTGTACCTAGAAAGTGTGAAACCCAAATTTTTTCATGTCCACATTCAATCAAAATTAGTAATCTATGTGTATTAGACTACTGTATTTTTACCCTATTTGTCACTCTTTTGTACTTGGTTTTATGAATATGAATATGATAATGAAAGTGAAATTTTGAATCAGGCACGATACCCACACAGAATTCACTATTCGATAGAATTTTCTCAAGGTTCTCCAGCTCTTTCTCAAAATCTCCCTATTGTTCTGGTACAAAAAATCGGAGCTGTGATTTATTTTCTGCACATATTTTCCAACTTTTCACTGCTTTTCGTCGAGTTTTCTGTAAGTTTTCTCTAAAACAGTAGGAAAAAATTGACTAAAACGCACGAAATTGGGATGATAAATCCGGAAAAATGATACATTTTTGTTACGGTAGTTGTCGCTGTGAGACCTTCGGCCACGGCCACTGGCGTTTCTCTTCCATAGCTCCAGTTTTTATGTGCAATAATAATATTAACGAGTTCATAAATTCGTATTCCTGCTAACCTGCAACTTCAATAACTTCAAAAGAATGAATGCAAAATTTTGAAACGACAATAAAAATTTGATGTCAAGAACAATAAAAGTAGTATCAATTACCTGTCTATTCTCGACCTTGTTATTCTTGATTTTGTCGACGACACACTGAAAAAAGAGATAGAAAACAGACATATTTTCACTTCTTATCAGCTCACTGTAGTTTTCTGTTCACTCTCGTTCTATTGAATCCATTCATATTCAATTTTTTTTGAAGATTGAAAAAATGACAAAGTTTCATGTGAAACTTTATTCGAAAGCTGTCGAATCTCGAAAAGTGAGCCAGATTCAAAGAGATTTCGAAAAGAAATTCCATCGAAAATTAGATGTTTCTGTGGAATATTGTTATCATTTGATTGTCGACGAAGTGAGTTTTTTTGTATTTCTGATATCTGATATCTCCAATTTTAGCCCGATTTCATTGATACCAATTGGTCTAAACTTTCCAATTTGCTTTCTCATTCTCCATTTGAAAAATATGTTTGGAGAGAATCAATTTTGAATTCCAAAAATGGAAAAGTGATTGAAATTTGTCCAAGGACAGCTGTCAAAACCGCCACTTGTACCAATATTTTGAATGTTTTCGATAGTGCCGATATTCGGAATGTTGAAAAAATCGAGAGAGGAATACGGTATCTTGTGCCGAACGATGTAGATGAGAATGATTTTTTTGAATTGGCAGCGGACAAAATGACTGGTAAACGGAATATACTTTCTTAACAATAAACAACAAGTTCAGAAGTCATTTACTCAACTGATATGAATTTTGACAACGAGAGTCATTCCATTGAAAATGTAACCATCATTGATGTTCTGGCTTCAAAACAAAATCTTATTGAAGTTGTTGTTTTATTCATCGAATTCTCTCTACCAATACGTTTTCAGGCTAATGAAAAATTGGGACTTGCATTGGACCAGGATGATCTGGACTTTTATTATGACTTCTTCGTAATTAAAGTCAAAAAGTAAGTTTTCATCCTACCAAGATTCTGAATATTCAGTTTCAGAAATCCTACGGATGTTGAACTTTTTGATCTAGCTCAATCTGATTCTGAGCACTCTCGTCATTGGTTTTTCCGAGGGGAAATTTGGATCGATGCGTGTGAAAGAGAACAATCATTAATGGGATCAATTCGAGACACCTTGAAATATTCAAATGAAAATAGTCTGATTGCTTTTAACGACAATTCAAGGTATTCAAATAAAACATAGGTTGAAAATCATTTTAGAAAAGTTGGGGTACCTTATTGCCTCTCATAGAAGTTCACCCAAACCGTTAACTTTGAACCAAAATATCTCATTTTCTGTAAGAGATATCAAAAATTTTCAAACTGGAAAATATTGATGATATTACGATAAACATTTTATCAGTTGACAAATTTCTGATATCTTTCACAGGAATCTAGATATTTGAGCTCAAAGTTGGCGGTTTGGGTGGCCCTTTCGGTTTTACGGTCCCTCTTCCTGATTTTCAATGTTTTTATTCCGCTCATCTCTGTTGCATAGCTAGTAATTTAAATATTGCCTAAACTCGATACTAGATTCTTGCTCAAAACTTTCGGATCTCAGACGAAGAAATATTGCAGCTCGATCCGTGGATTCGAAAGAGTTTGGCGTCTTCGACCATCTGACCCAACTACAGTATCCTCAATGAATGCGATTTGTTCTTCTTCTCACTTGATTTATTCTGCCGAAACACATAATTTTCCAACTGCAGTTTGCCCTTTTCAAGGAGCCACTACTGGAACTGGAGGAAGAATTCGAGATGTTCACGCCACTGGACGAGGAGCTTATGAAATCGCAGGTTTTGTTTCAAAACCTGTAAAACTCAACAGACTTCCCATTTAGGTACCGTTGGCTATTCCTTCGGCAATCTCAACATTGCTGGTCTTGATCTCCCGTGGGAAGATCCCTCGTTCGTATACCCAACATCTATCAGTGAACCAGCAAAAGTATGAAAACGGTTTTTCAAACGTTCAACACAAAATCTGATTTAGATTGCCATTGAAGCTTCAAACGGAGCATCAGATTACGGTAACAAATTTGGTGAACCAGTTATTTGTGGATTTGCTCGTTCATTTGGATTGAAGTTAGAAAATGGAGAAAGATGTGAATACCTTAAACCGATCATGTTTTCTGGAGGAATTGGGACAATTGGTACATTGAATTTTCAGCTATCATTAATGCCAAGAAACATATTTTCCAGACGAAGACGAAGTAAAGAAAGAGCCATGTGCAGTTGGCCAGAAAGTGGTTAAAATAGGTGGTCCAGTATACCGAATCGGTGTTGGAGGTGGTGCAGCAAGTTCGGTTTCAGTACAAGGAAATCGAGAGAATCAATTGGATTTTGCTGCTGTTCAGCGTGGAGATGCTGAGATGGGCGGTAAATTGCATCGAGTTGTGAGGGCGTGTGCAGAGAGAAATGGCGGAAATCCATTGACATCGATTCATGATCAAGGAGCTGGTGGAAATGGTTAGTTGGAGTTTCAATCTTGGAAACCGGGTGTTCTCAAAGGGACAACCAGATCCTTTCACCTACCGTAATCCGACAGAATTTTCATAATTCATTTAATTATTAACAATCTTTTTTTTCAGGAAATGTCATCAAAGAGCTCGTTGAAGGATGTGGAGTTACAGTCCAAAGTGATGCATTCCAACTAGGAGATGAAAGTATATCGTTGAGAGAATTGTGGACTGCTGAGTATCAGGTATGAATCTCTTGTTTTGCTTTACACATCCAACTGTTCATTTTTAGGAAAATGATGCAGCATTAGTAAATCCTTCTCTGCTAGAAGCACTTCAAACAATTTCCGAACGCGAGAAATGCCACGTTTCTGTGGTAGGAGATGTTATGGAAGAGCAAAGAGTCAAATTGGTTGGAAAATCAGGAGAAATTGCTGTAGATCTAGACACTCGACAGTTGGGAGAAAGGGAGAAGAAGTGTTTCAAATTGAAAAGTGTGCCACGGATTCTCAAGAAACTTGAATTGCCGAAGAACCTGACAGTCAGAGAAGCTGTTGGAAGAGTTTTAAAACTTCCTACAGTAGCTAGTAAACGGTAATAGAGTAACGAATAGCTACTTTAAACGAGATAATTGAAGATATCTGACATGCAAAGTTGATAGATCTGTAACTGGATTGGTAGCTCAGCAGCAATGCGTCGGGCCTCTTCACACACCTCTAGCTGACGTGGCAGTTGTTGCACTTTCCCATTTTGATACGGTTAGTTTTGAAAAAGTCTAGATCAATGTTATTGTTTCTCGAGGTTCCCTTCGGAGTTCTGACAATTATTTGTTTTCTCCCGGTACCGCCAAACCCGAAAATAGTTTTTGTCGTTCGTTTTGTTCAGTCGGAAATTAGTTTTCCTCCATTTTTTTCAGTCTGCTTCCCAACCGACCGCATCTTTTTTCCTTCTTATTCTCATGTTTTCTGACATGATTCAGTAATACAATTTGGGTTTGTCAATCTGGAAAGAAGAGGAGAGATTTATTTTCTTTGCGTTCCTTTTCTTTTTTGGAATTTAATTTATAACTGAAAAAGAGGCTGTAGTGTAAGTGAGTAAACAGTCAACAAGTTCTGAGTCCCGTTTTCTCTTTTTTGGGGGCAGAAAGAAGTTGAAGAAGTGTGGAAATGTCTTCTTTCCTCCCTTTTTCTTCTCGCGTCAGATTTCCGTTTTGAATTTCCCCGGGGACAAGTTTTGAATGGAAGAAAGAGTCGCATTGCTGCTGACATGTCCAATGACAAATCGCCTCTGATTATGTAGCCTTCAACATTTGAAATAAGAAAAAAGAAGAGATCTGGCTTCGAAAAATCTGACCCCCACAATCAAGCGTTCTGGTACAAAAAACAGAATGGAGACCAAAGTTTTCGGCAACAATCTTCTGACAACAAACAAACACCAACTTTTTCAGCTTCAGCCGTCAAGCGTTAACTCAAATCAGATAATATTTAAATTTCATTCAAAGAACAACAGTATTTCAAAGACAAGAGATAACTTTCAAGAGACCCGTCAAAACTTTTTAACTAAAAATGTCTCTACAACCGAACTGGCGATTCGACAAGGGAAATTCGTTTGTAGACAAAATTGGCTCGTTCTGCATATTTTCTGTATACCAGAAAACCGCCAATCAGAGCTGCGACGATAGCGAATGCAATGATAAATGTGGTGATAAGAATCGAATAAAAGTTACGAGTTGTATTGATACATGGCTTGACTGATGCCAAATATGGAAGCAGTGGATATTGCCAGGATCCTAAAATAGGGAATCATATTGACCCGATTTTCAAAAAGTGATTTTACCTGAGAAGCAATAGTAAAGAAGTGGGTCAGATACTTGACTTTGATTCAGAAGATGTGGAACAATATCGTATAGAGAGCAGTCACACCGCAGAGGATTTTGGTCAACTCGCAAGTCTCTGAAAAATCTTTCATTTGATATCAGTTTTGGTTTCTGGAGGCACACCTTAAGTGTTCTAGTTTTGAGAAATTAGAAGTAAACTGTACTCGATTCTCTCCCAAATCCAATGTTCTCAAGTTTTCCGGTAGTGATTTTGCATCGATAATTCTGATCTCGTTTCCACGCAACATCAATGATTTCAATGTTCTCAAATGTCTTAAATGAAGTGAGAATTCAAGACCAGAATTTGAAATATCCAAATCAACAAGCGACGTTAATTCATCTAAATGATCGCTCCAGCACGGAGATTCGCGGTTTGGACATCTCGAGAAAAGAGTGGGATTTGAAGCGATTCGAAGTTGTTGAAGCATTGGTAGACCAGTGAAAAAATGAGGATCCAGATGAGAAATCGTATTCGATGACAGATCAAGAAGAAGAAGAGATGGAAGAATCGGATGAGGAAGAGATGAAAGTTGGTTTGAACTTAGGTCAAGAGATATCAAACCGAGCCCAATTGATGGGAATGCTTGAGGATCAATCTGAAACTGGTCTTGTACAGAATCAAAAAGAGAAGAGAGTGGATACCTCGCTTAATTGATTGTTGGAGAGATCAAAATGTTGTAAATTGGGATAGGATTGAAGTGCATGAGGTGGCAAGGATGTCATCAAATTATGAGATAAACTCAAAGTATGAAGTTCTGTTAACTCGACTCCAGGTGGTGGAATTGGGAAATCACTGAACATGTTTCTCTCAAAATGCATTGATTCTATGGAAACAGCATCGATGTAAACTGTGGAAAGCAAGTTATCTCGAGCAAACACAGTTCTGATTGGACAGAATCTGGAGAACCTGAGTCGCTTTGCACCGATTCCAGAAATATCTAATGAGTGCAAGAATTGACCGCAAGCTGTCCAAGTGTCTTCGTGAAGAGGCATCTGGAAGAAGGAACAAGGTGATTAAAACTTGGAGATTTTCGATTATCCCACCTGGCAATGACTGATATTCAAACTCTTGACTCTACTCTTCCTCTCCAACCATTCCTCAAACCCGATTGGCAATCGAGTGTTACTCAAATCAACAAAAGTTGCATTCGAAAAAATATCCAAAGCTCCAGAATCGATTTCCAGCTCTCGATTTGAAGAGAAATCGATTGTTGTGATTAGAGAAATATTGAGGTTGTGAATTGGAATATGACGGCAGACATCTTTTTCACACTTTCCGGGAAGTTTCTGAAATTGAAAAATGAAGTTAACTGTGACTGAGCAAACTTTCAAGTGTCTGAGTGGGACACTCGAAATTCGGGAAACTTTTTCAAGAAAGTATCAGAAATCGGATCACTCACTTTGAACATAATGACAGTTTCATTTACACTTTCCATCCTAGTATCGGATAAGAAAAGTTGTCGAACTGGTGGGAAAACAGTCATTGATGTGGCAATTGCAATTGGATTTCCTGATAAATCCAATTGTTCTAGAACAACTCCAGGAGAGAGGATCCATGCCAATTGGTCCAAATTCGAGATTCGATTGTTCGTCAATATAAGAACTCGGAGAAATTTGAGACTGCGGAGTACGGTAGGCGGGAGCGTTTCCAAATGGTTGTTTGATAAATCAATGACCTAGAATCAAAATATTAATGTGAAGGTTAAAAGTAAAAATGCTATTACCTCTAACCCTGGTAAAGGCAAAAATGTACTTCCTGGAACTTCATGCATTCCACATCGGCTCATTCGCAGAACTCGAAGATTCGGATGAAACAAAAAATGCGGAGGTTGCGGAAGATTCAAAGAATTCAGATGAAGTTGTTGAATATTTGGAAGCATGGATACTGTTCTGACTAGTAAAGATGGGCGGTTGCAAACCACAGTGTGCGACAGAAAATCACAGTCACAATGAGCACAGAGATCTGCTCGAGATGAAGGGAAAGTGCTCATAAAAAGTATTAAAACGAGGATACGCATCTCGTTTCGAATGACTTCTTGTCCCTCAGACTGAGGCTGCAACAAAAAAGGAAAGAGTAGTAGGGAGCAAAAAATGGGGGCGGAGTTTCGAGAGCCAAGAAAAAGAAGAAGGCGTGATTAGATTGGAAAGCGAGAATCGTTTGTTGGAGAAGAGTGGGGAGAATCGAAAAATGGATTTGATAGGAGAAATGATTTTTTTTTTGAAACAGTTAAACGAGGATGAGAGTGGAAGGCAATAAATTTTTAAAAACTTTTCATATTTTTAAAGTACAAAATGGTACAAAAATCGGAGCTGTGGAAGAGTCTTTTCCAAAGAGAAACGTCGGTGGCCGTGGTAAAAACTCTCACAACGACAGCTACCGTAACCTGGAAATACCGTAAACACTCTAATAGAACGCCTTCCGAATCGTCAAATTTGACCCTATGTATCTCATTTTATTTAAGATATATCAAAAAGTGGTTAACTAATAAAATGTTTCTGATACCATGATAAACATTTTATTAGTTGACAACTTTTTGATATCTTTCAGAAGAAGTGAGATATATAGGTCCAAAGTGGACGGTCCGGGTGGCGTTCTATTAGAGTGTTAACGGTATGTTCAACTTCCAAATTTATTTTCTAGATTTTCGTGCGTTTCCAGTCAGTCTTTCACTATAACAAGATAAATTAGGAAAATACTAACAATTTTAGGTTACGGTAGTTGTCGTTGTGGGATCTTCGGCCACGACCACTGGCGTTTCTCTTCCACTGCTCTGATTTTTTTTGTAGCAGAATACCACTTTATAAGTAATCCAAAGAATTCCAATTGGACTTCTAAAATAAGATAAAATTGAATTAAATTATTTGAAACTCAGGAAAGAGGCTTTCAGTTTTTCCTTTTAATGACTCCGGTTTTGGTAGTTTTTCCTAAAATTCCATTTGACAAAAAAACAGAATTCCATCCCCAAAAACCCCCAAAAATGCATCGGAAAGACAATCAACCAAACGTATGCTTCATTGTAATTCCACTCATGAGCAACAATGGCAGTTCATTAGGTTGATGATGTTAAAACCAAAAGCTCCTCTCTTTTTTTCTTTCCATAATCCAATTCTTTTCTCTTCTTTTACGTCGCCAAAAATATTTGAACAAAAGGATGGAATCAAAAAAGGGATTACATGGCGAACAATAAGAATAGAACGGATTGGATTCCGGGTTGAAAAAAGAAGAAAATGTGCTTCTGAATCCTTTGTCCTTTCAGTAGTGAGAGGCGACCTAAAAATAAGAAATACCGAGAAAAACAATTGAAAGAAGAGTTTTGAGCTTAGTTGAAGAAGAGGAAGAGCAGAACGAGAAGAATGGGGAGACATTTTATGCATCACTGAGCCCTTTGGAGCCACCCGGAAAATGAGAAGTACGGCGGAAATATGGACAGAAAATGGGAGCAAAAGGGGAGAAGGGACGGGTTCAAAAACCCAAGTTCAAACATTTGGGACAGATGGACACTGACAAAATTAATGGGAAGAATCTAATTCCTTCATCCATCAAACTTCATATCGAAATAAATAGGACATTTCTGAATGAGTAGAGAATCTTAAAACAAAGGCTCTCGGTTTTTCCGGTCCTTAGAATTTTTTAACCCACTGAAAATTCAAAAAATATCAAAGTTGTAAAAAATCTAATAATCCAAAAATCTAAAAATTCTGAAAATTTTTTTTCGAAATTATTTTGATTGATTATTTTGATGGATTTTCGAAATTATTTTTTTTTCGGACTTTTTTGTATTTTTGTAATTTACGGAATTCCCGCATATTCTTATTCAGAGGACCAAAAACATTATAGAGATAAAAAAAACCGACGCCTCCTTTGGTCTGATAGAAAGATTATGATTAGGGACGTAATCGAGTAATCAAGTAAAAGTTAATCAAGTGAAAAATTAATTTTTGTTATCTCGCATCATCCCAAAGCACCCCTCCGGAAAATAGAGCGCCATGGCGCTAAATTACAGGTTTTACGGTATTTGATACTTTTAAAACCTGAATTTTAATTAAAGGGACCTAGATACCAAAATTTTGATAGTGCTTCTAAGATTCCTGCTCACAGAATTTGTATGATTTGTCATTGTTTTTTTTCTAGCCATGTGCATGATTCTCGGAAAAACCTTCTGTCAGAATTTCTAATTAAAAATTACTGGTCTGCATTGTCTTTGCAACCAATAAAATTTTTCGCCTAACGAAAAAAATAACAGACATGTCTCTGAAAATTGAATTGATTAAAAATTCAACATTTTTCAGGTCGGTGGAGCAGTGTCTCTCGGAGAACAGCCTATCAAAATGTTAATTGACGCCGAGAAAGGAGCAAGAATGTGCATTTCGGAGACTATAATGAACCTTATTTGGGCTCCAATTACAGATCTGAAGGTATCGAAAACAAGAGTATTCCAAAAAAAAGTTATTTCTTTTGAAGGATGTAAAAATGTCAGGAAACTGGATGTGGGCTGCAAAATGCGAAGGAGAGGGTGCACGTTTAGTGGAAGCAGTTGGAGGTCTTTGTCAGGGTCTTCGAGAGATTGGATGTGCGATTGATGGAGGAAAAGATTCGCTATCGATGGCAGTGACCGCAAATGGAGAAGTTGTTAAGGTTGGGCTGTTGAAATTCTAGTAGCTTTATAATTCTACTACTCAATGTTTTCATTTAGAGTCCTGGAACACTTGTTCTGTCCGCCTACGCTCCATGCACAAATGTTTCAAAAGTTGTGAATCCATCATTAAAAGCTACTCCTGGTTCCAAAATTTTATGGATCAAATGTGGAGGTGTGAAAGGAAAATTCAGATTAGGAGGGAGTGCACTGGCTCAAGTTTATTCACAGGTAAAATTATTTTCTTATTTTCTATCATATTTTTTTCAGATCGGAGACGATTGCCCAGACATCGAAAATTTCTCTGAAATTTCCCATGTTTTTTCGATTGTTCAAGATCTATTAAATGAAGATCAATTGGTTGGAACAGTTAGAAAACCAAAAATCCTTGCAGGCAACAACTTTAATTTTTGAAATTTTTATTTTAGAATTCAATTTTCAGGACATGATATTTCTGACGGCGGTCTTATTACGACAATTTTGGAAATGGCGTTTGCTGGAAATGTTTCAATTGATATTGATATTCAAAAAGAAACGGATCCCATCAACATTCTATTTTCTGAGGAATGCGGGATTGTTCTCGAAGTTTCAGATGCAGAAAACGTTATGAAAAGATGCCAAAGTTCGGTCATTGAATGTTCCGTTATTGGCCATGCTACTCCGGAATATGGATCAGATGCACATGTTAAAATTCAAGTGAATGGAAAGATGGAAATCAATGAAAAATTGGTGGATTTACGAGAAGAATGGGAACTTGTTGGCGATAAATTGGGAGAGCATCAAACCAATTTGAAAAGCTTGGAAGAAGCGAAAAATGTGCGAAAGGATTGCAAAAAAATTCAATACAAGTGTGATTTTGAATGGTTTTACCATCCTTCGTTTATCTATCACGAACAGTACTTTTCAACGGCTCCACGCGTCGCAATAATTCGGGAAGAAGGATCCAATGGAGACAGAGAAATGGCATCTGCTTTTACTTTGGCCGGTTTTCAGACTTTTGATGTTACAATGAGTGATATGCTGAAAGGACACAATTTAAATTCCTACAGGTTTCTACTAAAAACCATAACTACATAGAAATTTAACTATTTTCCAGAGGAGTTGCATTTGTTGGAGGATTCTCTTATGCCGACGTTTTGGGATCTGCCAAAGGATGGGCTGCGGGAATTCAATTCAATGAGAAAGTTTCACAGAGTTTCAAAGTTTTCCGTTCAAGATCTGACACATTTTCATATGGAGTCTGTAATGGATGTCAGTTGATGGCTCAACTCGGCTGGGTTGGAGATGAAGATGATGAATCGGAAAGCGTTACAGTATTCCTAGATGAAAATGAATGTGGACGATTCGAAAGCAACTTTGGACCTGTCAAAGTGACTCAATAAACAAGTGCTTCTTAAAAACATCGATCCAATTTCCAGATAGAACAGAGTCGATGTATCATGCTTTCTGGAATGGAGAACTCAATTCTGGGACTGTGGTCTTCTCACGGTGAAGGTCAATTCAATTATCGATCATCTCAAAATCTCGAAAACTTGAGAAGAAACGGTCAGGTTTGTGTCCGTTTCTGCGATGATCTTGGAATGACTGGCGCTGATTACTCGAAAGAAAAGCTACCGTACCCATGGAATCCGAATGGATCTATTGATGACGTGGCCGCGATTTGCAGTCGCGATGGAAGGCATCTCGCAATGATGCCTCATGCGGACCGATCCTTCTTGACGTGGCAATGGGCGGATCCAGATGATGTCAACTGGAATACACGATTTGATCAACAGTCAGTGGCACTTTCTCCTTGGATTCGAATGTTCAGAAACGCCTATAATTGGTGTGAAACTTGAGTTCTGTACTTGCTTTTAACTTTCTGTTTGAGCTTTTTTTTGTTGGAAAAATTTTATTGCAACTTCGAAATCAGACCCAAATGTACAGACAATCGTATTCAACAAGACTAAAAAGAAAAAAATTAAAAAATTAATAACAAAAAAACACCAGTAAAGATTCAAATTGAATGATGTACAACAGCTTCGAATTGTCTCAATTCTGTGAGATCCTTCATGGCAACATGCCCATTTCTATCACTGATCCATCTTCCATTCATTCCTAAAAATATTATAGTTTTTTATTTTCATAGTTCTCAAAAAATGGGTTACCTGGAATTCTGGCAGTTGGTTTTCCCCAGACCATACCACGATTCAGAAGCACTTCATCAACTGAAAATAGGAAGCTCATGGGATTAGAAAAAGAAAAATCCTCACCATCACTCCACATAGCATAAACATGATCTCCTTCCCGATTCGGATCATCATTTGTTTTTTGAAGAAGGTTTGAATAGTTTTCTTGCTTACAGCTTCCAGATGTGTAGCCACACCAAAGCTAGAAAATTTGGAACTTTTTTCAATTTATAAACTAGAAGATATACCTGGTCTTGACAAGTGTACCCCGGATACAAGCCATCCAATGCATTACACCAGGCTGGAACTGTTTGAGCAAGTTGGCATACACAGAGCCCGAAATTTGGCCCAGCAATACCAAGGAAAGTGTCAACTTTAGCTCCAAGTGGTGGACCCAATGTACAATTTCCGTCGGTTCCAATAAGAGTTCCTCCTTTTACAACTTTTCTCATCAATGGTACTCCAACTGAATGAGCAATGATGTCGACTTTTTTTGCCCCCGTGTATCCGATAACGGCTTCGAGGAATCTGAAAATTAAAATATTTTATGATTGAACCAACACACTAAAATTCCTACCTTCTTAAGTAAATCAAATTTCCGCAGGTATGAATTGTGGAATATGTGTCCAACATGGATCCACTTCCCCAAGTATCTCCCCAAGTGGTAGCATACAACTCGGATTCCGTGTAGTTCTGCTCCAAAAAGTATTGAATACTTCTACTGAATCCAGTTGCCAAAGGTTGTTGAGTGAAGAGAGCAGTGTCTCCAGAACCATGAATAAAGATCACTGGTTCTTTTTCAACAGTGTCTCCAGATCTTCTTTTTCCTCCGAAACTTCCGTTTGGCCCTACATCTGGACGATCAAATGCATCTTGTTCGTACCTAGAAATATAAATTTTGTTTTGGTGAAAAAAAAGAATAAATCTACCCATGAGCAATCAACCAATCTACAAAATGGGATGACATGGGACCAGGAGGTCCCGATTTCTGAGCATTGGATGGAACGTGAAATGAGCAAAGGGCTACTAATAGGAATAGCCTGAAAAACACTATTTGTGTTCAATCGGGTTACTGTAGATTCTTTTTCTGAATTACTAATTGCTTGCTAAAAAAGATAACTGAATAAATAGTAAACTTTCATACTTTCTAAAAAAACTAATAAAGAGAAGAGTTTCTTTGACGGTTACAGTAACCTTCCTGTTTTTGAACGAATAAAAACAAGTTAAGAAACAGAATACTTACCACATCGTTGTACAAAAAAAGAACAAAGATATATAGCGGGAAAGGTTTGTTCTCTATAAGAAAGCTGAAGATGAATCACAGGAGATGGGCAGCCTCTCTATCGTCTGGAAATGTAAATTGGGATGAAAATGGTCAAGCCAAGAAAATAGTGTGAGAGACGAAGAGACGCAGAGAATCGACCGGTTCTTACGCCATTTTGCCTCCTTTTTTCGGAGGGAATATGAACAGGTTTCAGGGTGTCATATAAGTGACCAGAGGCGATTTCTGAAGGAAAGAATAGCCGAATGGCAGAGAGAAATCGGTGTTGAAAAGGACAGGTGATGACGGAGAAAGAAAAATGAAAGGAGAAATGTTATGCAACATTTTTGAGAGAAAGCTGTGGACTTTTTAAGGGAAAAATCGGGTGTGTAGTTTGTTATATCAATGGAAAAATAATACAGTGATCCAGAGAAGAATAATGAATTTCAAATGGAATTATGGTAAAGAAGAAATCAGAAGAAATTGAAGTTAATTGAATGTTTCAAACTGGGTTACTGGAAAAACCTGAATGCAGAAAACTTTTCCTATTCCGTAAAACGATGTATCTTATCGGAAAACAGAAAAATCGGTTCAAAGCTGATAGTTAAATATCAATTTTTATTACATTTTTACGGTAACATTAGTTTCACTTCAGAACGTTTACATACCGTATGTTTCCTCTAATGCAACGTCATCTATGAGCTCAATTATCTTGGAGCGTTATAGATATATGAAATAACTTAGTTTAGAAGATGTCACGGATGACAAATATATTTTCATTTGATGATGTTCATATAAACTTTGATATTTTAATACCTGTAATAGAAGGGCTCCCTGACTTTCAACTTTGCGCCAACTTTTATCGGTACCTGTCAAAGACATGAAATAGTTGTCAGCTGATAAATTGGTTATTATAATAACCATTTCTCAGTTGTCACATTTTTCATAGCTTGCGTAGCAATTGAGATAATTGAGCTCAAGCTTGACTAGGACTCTTCTATTACAAGTTTTACGGTAATTGAGGTCAAACTGCAACTACAGTGTGCTACAGGTTCTTACGTCCCCACATGTTTAGGGTCATAACTGGAGAACTGTTAGAGGTATCGGCCTCATTTTTTAAAAATCGGACAACAAATTAAATCTAGTGGACAATTGTTGTACGTCCTCTATGAGCAATTCTGGATGGACCAAAAAAAATCAGAAAGCAACTAAGTCATTCACACTGTCATTTCGACTATTCTCTCATACGAAAAGCCTTAGTTTTTCACTTTCTTAATGAGTTACGTAAATCTACTATCAATTTTTGAGTTTTTTAAACTTTTCACACGTTACGCAATAAACCTTTAAACCAATGAATATTAGGTCACGCCCCTACCTCTGTCCACGTTGAAAAAATTCCACGTATTGAAAAAAAAAACAGTCCTTTGGGAAATCCCACTTTTTGAATTAGTTTGCAATTTTCACTAGCACTTTTTGACTGCCCTGAAGCTCCCTGCGTAAGCTGTTTATTGCTTCATTTGCTTCTTTCTTTCGATTAGTCCGATGCGAAAAAAAGTTATAAAAGGCCCTAAGGGTCGCCATGTTTGGTGGTTCATGGCTAGGTGAATTCATTTTCACTGAACGTCCCCCTTTTGCAAAAGACTCAATCAAGGAAAAAAGAAACAAATGAACAAAAACAATAAATAGCGATCGTATAGCTTTTTAGCAGTGAAAAAGAACTATTGAAAATTAGAAAACTGTCTCCTCGGAGACAGGGGTTTTGTGTTGGTGTTTTCCCCCCGGTGAAAAACCATTTTCCCTTTCATGTACTGAGCCTCTACGTGGCGAAAGGGATCAACAGACGAAAGTCTGGCTAATCAGTACACTTATGTAGGCTGGCCAAAACGGTTTTTTCTGGCACCACACGCCGCTTTAAATTTTTGCACTGGCCGCCAGCGCCAGTTTTTAAAGCGGCGTGAATCGCCAGTAAAATTTTTCACTGGCATTAAACGCCGGGTTCTTTGAAAATGAGTTTTTAAATAGAAAATACTTCATAAAGAAAAGACTGAGAACGAGAGAAAACGACAGACGATCCGAAACAGTGAAATGGTATGAAATTGATATTTTTAGATCTTCCAAATATTTGATTACTTCTGGAATTCTGTTTGAAATTCTGTCTGGTGTCTGAACCTTCTGAATTTTTTTTTTCGAAATTTCAGAATTTCTGAATTGATAATTTCCGAACTTCGAATTTTCAGGATTCAAGAAATTTTGAATTTCCTGGAAATTTCAGTATTTTCATAGTTTTTCAAGATTTATTTTTGGAGTCTGTACTTTCATGCTTTACATCTTTGAACTATCGAATATTTCTAAATTCCTAAATTTTCGAAATTTATAATTCCAAGATCTCTGAACTTCGGAGTTTTTAAATCCTGCCATCTGAAACCCCGAGAATCAAAGTTTACAACTTCCAATTCTTAAAGCCTGAACAAATACTTTTAAACTAAACTTCTTTCCAGACATAATCACAATAACTATTAATGGAAGACTTGTGATAACTTCGCAAGTACCAAATTCGTTCTAACATATTATAACTCCCATTCACTCCCTTTAAACTCGATTATCTGACTTCTTGTCAAACACATGACAAAACTGACACTTGGAGTAAGAGGATATTGGTGAATCAAAAGGTAAATTCTATTCTCAAAAAGAAAGCGGCGTTTGACGCCGGTTTAAATTTTAAAACAGGCAAATATTGCCTGCTTAAAATTTCGCTATCTTTTAATGCAAATCACGTGAAATTGAAAGGCCCATAGCTCTGGCACTGGCGGCCAGCAACAACCCTACACTTATGAAACTTGTCATTTTTTTAAATTTTTGTTGATATGTTCAGGAATATCCATATTTGAATTTTTTTCAATAAATCTTTTTTTACATCTTCCATATCATTTTTTTCTTTTCCAAGCCCGTTTCCAAGAAGGAAGAATCAAAAATCAGCTCTCAAGTTATGACCCTAAACATGGGTGGAGAACCTGAAATGCACTGTATAGGAAATACGGTATTCTAGGAATTTCAAAACTTTAATATTTATAACAGCAACACAAATATATGGAAATTTCAGACAGTAGTTCTCAGGCAAACATTTCGCACCCATAAGAATAAACTTTTTGATAGAAATTTTGAGAGAAAAAGGATTTCCTTCCTCTACCTATTATAATTGAAGCCAATCTTTTTTTAAAAACTTGTATTTCAAGAAAATTGTAAATTTTATGGGGTTATTCAGGTACACTGCAAAAAATGAGAAAAAAACTCACGAAAACTTGGAGACTGAACCAAGCTGACTGAAACTTAGGGGGAAACTGGAGAAAACTATTGGGAACAAACTATAGGGAACAAACTAAAACTATAGGGAACTATAGGGAACATACTGCTCGAAGTATCCACTTTGAAAATTTGGATAGAACTACTTCCAGCTGGAATTTCCATTTCACTTCGAGCTGCGATTCCAGCCGAGTTTTCAAAAAATATATTTTGACCTAAAATTTTAGCAATATGTTCCCTATAGTTTTTTCTTCACTTTTCCCCCAAATTTTCAGACAGATTGGTTCAGTCTCCATTCAGGAGTCGATCTTCAAATTTTCCATATACAGTAATCGTTGCATCAATTTCTCCATGTATCCTTATACCATACTGAACAAAATCGCATGATAGAAATTAGTTCCAGATACTGAGTGACCACAGTTCTCTAAACTATTTGTTGTCTATTTTCAGCAAAATGCTAATATATCACATGTGTCCTTCAAAACAGTTCTTCTTTGTCTCGTCATTTGATGGTATCTTCTTCCCTATGTCACATGTGTCCCTCAAAACGTACTAGTTTTCACTTTCCATTCTCCTCAATTTTCCATTTTTGTCCTTGAGAACGAACGTTTTTTTAGTAATTGCCTTGGGAAATAAATTACCAGAATCTCTTTCATTTTTAGTCGACGACTGACTTCTCCCAATGTTTTTATTCTTTTTTAGTTCGTCTTTAAAAGATTTTGGAGACTGGAGGAGTCTCTTTTCGGCAGAAAAAAACGTCACGGTTTTAGAGTTTAGTGGAGTGAAAGACATCTTCCGGTGTCTAGAATCGAAACTCGCATTCGCAAAGTTTTCAAATCCAAAATTCCTTTTTTTGGCACAACAATTTACATTTAAATCCGTTTCTTGTTTTCAGAAACTACATATGATACATGTAAGAAAAAGAAGAAAAAGAAGAAGAGAAATTCGATTATTATCTTTGAATCGGAGAGTTTTTTGAAGTGCGGTGTCACTTTTTTTGCATGCTCCAACGAGAATTTCTTCTAAACTTCTGAATTTTTTTCGTATTCGAATAAATCATTCAAAAAGCACTACGGAAGTTCTGTTAAGGAAAACATCTTCCCGTTTCAAAAACCTTTTATTTCCGATGGCTTGTACATTTCCTGAAACCAATTCCCGACTTTCCCCGAAATATTCGTTTCCTTCATACTTCTTTTTGAGGCAGCGTCGAGTTTTCCTCTTTTGATGAGAAAAAATATTCGAGAGCCTCTGTCAGACGTCTTGTGCTCATCTAACTTTCTTCCGGAATCTTCTTCCATCATCAATGCACAGAGTAGTTGAGTATAGCGAAAGGAATGAAAGACAAAACAAGAAGATTCGGATCTCTAGATAATGACTTTTTTGGCGGATGGTTCATGTTTGAAGAGCCTCCCCAGATGAGGAACTAGAAGAAGACACTTGAATTTCTTGGTGTAATGAAAGGATTACTGTAGTTTAAGACTTTATTAGGTATCATTCATTAAAAAAATTAGTTTTATTTGTCTTTTTTCTATTCCGTTTTGTTTTTCATTTAAATATTGGTTGTTTACATTTTTCTAGTTTTCCTTCTACAAGCCCTAGCTCCGGTAAGCCCTAGCTATTCTTTTTCCATGATTCCAAACTCCTAAAGCAATTTTCTTCCATTAAGACTAAACTTCTTTTTCGTTTCTCAGTCCTCATCTCCTCCACTTTTCTTCCATTGAAAGCAAAAAGGACAAAAGGTCTTCTTCGCTCAGGCTTTCTCTGATTCTCTCACATTTGCATAATCTCTCCCTACCCTTTCACCTTGATTTCCGACTGCTCCGTTCGCTCTGCTTCTCTCTATCCCGTGTTCTGTCTCGCTACTTCTTCTATATCCTACGTCTCTTTCTGTTTGCGTTCGTCTACTTCCACTGCATAACCATATATAGTTAGTTATTGACATTGATGAAGAGAAAAAACGCGAATGATGATAGAAAAAATAACCGATTTTTCTGGAATTGTGGTTTTTAGCTACCGCTATTTTTTATCAGGTTCCACAAAACAACTCCTTAACTACGTTTTTTTTTGAAAGATTTTTTGAACGATTTTTTGTCTCTGCCTGTTATTATTCTAACTCTTTGAAATTCGTTTAAAACTGCCTCCGCTTGCAAAACTTCTGCAAAACTCTCGTGTACGCAAACACTTTTACGACAGTTTGCGGGCGTTACCTTATTTGTGCAATTGCTCTCCGAACTTGCTATAAAAACTAGGTAAAGCTGAAAGGGTATTCCAAATATTTCAGGGATTATTCGGATGGATATCTCTGAAACGGAATATAATGACTCAGACCCTCCGGTTCAAGAGAATGGTGAGATATCTATCGATTTTCCACTATCAGTTTGAGCATTTCTTCTAAAACCAATATTTACCCTTATTGTAGGAAATGGTAAAGCTGTTGTAGAAGATGAGGTGAATGACGAGGAGTCGAATATGGAAACTGTCGATCTTGGATTAGATGATAAGTGAGTTGATTTTTTTGTGCAAAAAATTAATGTCCTTTACTTTATTTCAGAACGTCTGATGCTTCAAGTCAAAATGTCTTCAAAAACATTGACAATGAACCCTCAGACGACCAGCAGAATGTTGAGGAATCTGAGAATATAACTCTAGAAAAGCCTGAAGAAATATCAGCTCCTCCAACCGTGGTATCAACATCTCAAGACGTGTCACCTCCACCAGCCATTGAGTCACTTCCACCACTGCTGGAAGGAAAAGAACTTGAACTTGAGGTGAGCTACTTCTTGAATTTAATAGAAGATGAATATGTAAAAACAATTTTTTCTCTTTAAAACTCCTGAAATTGTTTTTTAAGCAGATCCCTAACAAAAATTTATTGTCGCATTTTCTTTTCTATCACCCGAACCCGTGTTTTCCATCGTTGTTCACCATTCCTTCTTTTTTGCAAGCCCCCCCCCCCCCATCAGATTCGGTTAAACCATTTTTCCTCAATTAAAACGAATACGGAATTTTGATTTTCCAAAACCTAATTCTCAGCCAGAAGAGCTCACATCGACTCCGTTTTCTATCGAGTATGATCTGACTCAACCGCCGACTCCTGGGTCGACAAGTCGTCGAGACAGTTATAATGCAGCTGGAAACATTTCGAGACGCGGCAGTTTGGCCTCATTCTCCAAATCATTCAACATCTCAATTCCATTCAGTGTTGGTTGTGTTTGTGATATGAGAATGAAGCTAGTGCATGGTTTTTAGACCTCTAATTGTTATTGAAAAAAAAACAGTTTAACTTTGCATGCACAGCATTAAAATGATAACTTAATAACGAAAAATTCAGTTCTCTTCTTGTACATGAAAACAATTGTTTCCCAAAATGCTTCTCTCAGCTCAGCTCAATAATATTTCGAATCATTAAGCTATTCTGCGACTTTTTGTTAATCGTTGAAAATGGCAGGTTTTCAGGATGACGTCACATCTTCGTTACCCCGTCTTCTCTCGAAAACAACATTGATACACTCAAATGAAGAAGGCGCTGATGAGACGATTCAAAGGCTCATCTCATCTCTACATTCCAATTCTCCGAACATGGATCGAACCCAAATTGTTGATCATCTTTTCAATTTGCTTGTTGGTGGACATTTTGACCAGGAGTCAAAGTTTGTGATTGAACATGTCGCAAATGTGGATCATATGCTAACACTTCTTTCTCATTGTGATTGTGACTTGCAGGTTTGAATGGAAAATTTAGCTTTTAAAAAGTACAGGATTTTTTCAGAACGAAATTTGGAGTCTGTTTTTGGCAGTTATGAAAAAGAGCAACCGAAATTTGGAGGCATGTACTCGAGTTGGGCTAATTTCAAAGTAATTTTTTTTTAAATCTGTTAAAATTCGATTGCTTTGATTTCAGAGTACTGGACTTACTTCCCGAAGCTCCTCCATTGCTTGCTGATCTTCTAGTTCAAATAATTGCTGCACTTGTCGCATATTCTATTAATGTAAAGCAAACGAAACATCTTCTTAGAGCTCTTAGGTCTACCAAGGACCAGTGGGTATGTTTCGAAAAATTCAAGCTCCTTATGTAAAGTATAAATCTTCAGCCACCAAATTCCCTGAAGTTACTCCATGTGTTGAAAGAAATGCCACAACATGACAGTGCTGATGTTTTTTTCTCATTTCCTGGAAAAGATCAATCGGTATTTAAATCTCCGAAGAAAATTATGTTTTTCAAGTTGAATTTTGTAGGGAATCATCCTGCCACCTATCAAGACCATGCCTTACCAGCAAGGGTGGACTTTTGCAACATGGCTCAGAATGGAACCGCTGAACAGTGTCACATTTGAGAAAGAACAACCAGTGTTGTATAGCTTCCGAACATCAAAAGGAATAGGATATTCGTGTCATATTTTTGGAAATTGTCTTGTTGTGAACGTCGAAAAAGCAAAAGGCAAGGAGCAATCGAGATGTGTTAAAGCTGAACTTGGAGCCAGAAAGTGGCATCATATTGCAATTGCTCACTGTTACTCACGCTGGGGACGAAGTGATATCAAATGCTTCATTGATGGACAACTTGCGGAAACAATTGAATTGTCATGGTTAGTATAAACTCTAACTTGAAATAAATAACAATGACATCTTCCATTTTCAGGGTTGTTACATCTACTACCAGCTGGGATCGTTGTTCTATCGGAGTTTCTGCGGACGGGGCAGTCAATACAGCTTTCTGTGGACAGATGGGAGCTATGTACTTATTTGCCGAATCACTTTCGCTCCAGCAAGCGAATTCTCTATTCTGTCTCGGACCAGCTTATCAGTCTACATTCAAGCATGATTCTGAAACCAGTCTTCCAGAAGGATATAAAAAAGTTGTTTCCAGAATTGAAACTATATTAAAAACTCCATTTTCAGCATTTGTTTGATGGTCATCTCCATTCGTCACTGGTATTTGCCTATTGTCCTAAAAACTGTCATGGACAATTATGCCTCTTTACTCCACCAAAGACAGCGGCAAACACCTATTTTGTTCAGATCCCTCATGCAGTTATGAAAGAAGTCAGTAACAATAAATTTCCAAATAATAACTTCTGAATTTTCAGGGAGTGGAAGTGATCACTACTCATTCTATTCACAAGTCGCTTCAATCTGTTGGTGGAATTCAAATTCTGCTTCCTCTGTTCGCGCAGATTGATTTACCATCTTCTCATGATAATACGATAGACGGAGATGTCTGTCAAACACTTCTGTCTCTGATTTCCCTTCTGCTCTCCAGTTCACAAAGTTCACAACAACAGCTTTTCCATAGCAAAGGATTCCTGATAATTTCGTCTTGTCTTCAAGAAGCATCACCATCTCATTTGTCGATGAAAGTTCTCGAACAAATCATTCATATCGCCAAGTTCCTGCTCCGTTGTCCTGCTGGTGGCCCACTGCTCAAACATCTCTTCGACTATATTCTCTTCAATCCAAAATTATGGATCAGAGCACGACCAGAAGTTCAAGTTCATCTTTATCAATACTTGGCTACTGATTTTCTGGCAAACAATAACTTTTCTCAAATGCTTCGAAGGGTTCCCACTGTTATTGAAATGTGTCACACTCTCAAACATTTCTACTGGTTGGCACTCCCACAAACAGTTTCCGATTATACGGTCGAAGAAAGGCCTGAAAACTTTGCAACGGCTGAAATTGTCTCTATCAGGTGAGTGTGTTCTTGTACTTTTCTAGCTGTCATTTTGTATTATTTCAGAAGTGCAATTCTCACTTTCATCAACCGAATTATCATTTCATCTAACAGTCCCGACGAAGAAGAGAAAGCTCGAGATCAAGAAATTCATACACTTCTAAACCTTTTGGCAACCGTCAGAGAAGATGACAACCTGTACGATGTTTTAGCTCTGGTCACCAGATTGCTTGCTGAGCATCCTGCTATTATGATTCCAGCAATCGATAAAAACAAGGCACTTGGAATCATTTTTAATCTTCTTGCTGCTCCAAACGAGTTGATCCGTATTCCAGCGTTGAAGATTCTCGGATTTTTCTTGTCAAGATCTACACTAAAACGGAAAACTGAATCGATGGGAAGCCAAAACTTGTTTTCCTTGATTGGTGAACGTCTTCTGTCTCATAAACGAACGATTTCTCTACCAACTTATAACGTGCTTCTGGAAGTTCTTGTGGAGCAAATGACGCCTACATTTACCTATGCTGCTCATCAACCAGCTCAACCAGATTGGAAGTTTGAGAATCCACACCTTCTAAAAGTGATTGCACATGTCATCAGTCAATGCGAAGAAACAGAAAGTCTTGTTCAAATCAAGAAATGCTTCCTTATTGATATTATAAACCTCTGTCGAGAGAGCAAAGAAAATAGAAGAACGATTCTTCAGATGTCCGTTTGGCAAGATTGGTTGATAGGTCTAGCCTATGTTTTCCATACATCAGAATCGCAAAACGAAGTGAGCGAACTTGTCTGGGAAGCATTTTCTATTTTACTTCATCATGCACTCCGGCACGAATACGGTGGATGGAGAGTTTGGGTTGATACTCTAGCAATTGCTCACTCAAAAGTAAGCTATGAAAAGTTCAAGAGACGGTTAGCAGAAGCGAAAGCCAAGGCAGAGAAAGCAGAAACTGGAGAAGAGTGAGAATACGAAAATTGAAATGTTTTGTTTTTACTTTGAAATTTTAGAGCGAAAATGGAGCCAACACCTGTGTACAGAGCACCCGAATTCGCATGGTCTGAAGTCCACATTCGTCTTCTAGCTGATCTCCTGTCAGGAATCGAACGCACTGTAGAGGAGTGGAAAACGTACGTTGTCTGAAAAATGCGGTCCTATTTATTGCTCATTTTACAGGCAGGAAGGTGGAATTTCTGACCAGTGTAATGCTTCGGAGAATCAAGTGTTTGTCGGAAACGTTGTTCACGTCATCTCCCAGCTGGCAGACAGTCTCATAATGGCTTGCGGAGGACTTCTCCCACTACTAGCGAGTGCTACTGCTCCAAATGTAACTTATCATCTTATTCATAATATACATTTCAAGTCTTGTTTTTTTCAGAACGACATGGAAATTGTGGATCCATGTCAACAACAACTACCAATATCTGTGGCTGCTAGCTTCCTGATGAGATTTGCGAAACTAGTGGACACTTTTGTTCTAGCTTCTGGAGTATCGTTCTCCGAACTAGAACAAGAAAAGAATATGCCAGCTGGTGGAGTACTACGTCAATCGCTTCGAATTTCTGCAACTGTCACTGTTCGGCATATTCTTGCATCAAGAATTCAGCAGCCGGACACTCCACGATATGAAACGAATTCTGCTAAAAAGAATCAATGCATCATGGATTTCGTAAAAGAAGCTCTTGAAAATGTAACTCGATTTATTTGAAATAGTTTCCATCGTGTAACCTTTTTTTCAGTTTTCTCCGGAAGGCCTTGAAAATGTTGAACGTTTGGTGCAAGACTCAGATATCACTCGCATCAAAGGAGTCGTCTATCGGGATATGGTTGAAGAGAATCGACAAGCACAATTCCTTGCACTTTCTGTTATTTATCTGGTGTCCGTTTTGATGGTGTCTAGGTACAGAGATATTTTGGAACCACCATCATCTCCATCCCCGTTCTTCGATTCAACAACCACGAAACAAGAAAATGCTGAGCGTGGTTAGAGAAATTGTTTGAGTTTAGCCACAATCCTCTATTTCTAGAATTGCCCGAGAGCTCATCAGAAGCTGTTGCTAATGGAAAAGTAGCAAACGATGGAGATCATGCCAGTATCAAGAACGGATCAGATCACAGTGAGAACGGTGCCGACGAAGAGACTGAAGAAAAAGGAGAACAAGGTCAAGGTGACAATGGTGGAACCATTGCTGCAATTAAAGTAGCCAATTCGGATATGAAAAACGATGGGAATGAATATAATGTGAGATTTTGCAAAAAAAATCCAGAAATTATTGGTATTTTGAAGGAAGAGGAGTTGAAGAAGATGCATCAGTCTAATGGACGCCGACCATCCACCTTGATGCCTCCTCAACAAACTGCTGAGAGAAGAGCTTACTTGACCACGAAACTTCAGACTGCTCTTGAAACATGTGCGCCGCTCTTGAGAGAAATGATGTCAGATTTCCGTGGTTATCTGCAGAAGACACTGGTTGGCACACATGGACAAGAAATCATGAATGATACAAAAGGTCAACAAAATCACACGTCATGATTTATAATGCTTGATTGATTTCAGTTCTGGAAACTCTTAGAAACAGAAATGCATCTGTCATCGAACTTGTTATGTTACTGTGCTCACAAGAGTGGCAAACATCTCTTCAAAAACATGCTGGTCTTGCGTTCATTGAACTTGTAAATGAAGGTAGATTGATGGCCCACGCAACAAGAGATCATGTGCTTCGAGTTGCTAACGAAGCAGATTTCATTCTGAATCGACTGAGGGCAGAAGACGTCAGCAAACACGCACAATTTGAGGTTTTATCGGACCCTTTGAGCATGAGAATATGAGTTTGTTTTAGGCTGAATCACGAGAACAACTTAATGCTCGCTATGAAGAATACAGCAGGTGCGATCTTCTCATTGTTTCTGGACGCCTTCGAGATTCTCTTAATGCCACACGTCTTCTTGACAAAATGTCGGCTATTCTTACTGATGGCGATGATTCGAAATCGTGTGTTTTAGTCACATTTTCAATCACATGCTATATCCAATTTTTCAGTGGAAGTCAGTTCTGGAAGCTAGACGTTTGGGAAGACGATAGCAGGCGGCGTAAGCGATTCGTGCCGAACCCGTATGGTAGTCGTCACGAAGAAGCAAACCTTCCAGAAGGAGAGAAGAACGAAGAACCTGAGATTTCTGAACAAGAAAGGATTCGGAAAATTCTCAAAGGGTCAGATAAAATGCGATAAAATATGTTCTTATTGTTGACTTCCAGACTTTTCTCTCAACGACACGCCACAACGACAAGCACTGGTGGCCAGGAACTAGTTGATGAGTCAGATATCGATAAATGGGCACAGGAAGTTGACCCCACGCCTTCAAGTCGTAAGTTTGATCTTCTAGTAGAATACGGATACGGGGAAATAGAAAGACCATAAAACGTTGTTGAGTGAGTGTGAGAAACGGTCGTAAATTCGCGCCAAGCCAATTAAAACCCTATTAAACGCTGACATTTCACTTTGGAACTACTGTTCGTACTCTCATGTTAACTACCGTTTGATCGATATCTCTCCACTCTCTGGGGACGATTTTTTGAGTTAAGAACATCTTTTTCGCATTCTATGAAAGAGGTGTTTTTAATTTGAAATTGAGTGAGATAATAATTAAAAAAGGTTTCTTTTCAATGTCGAACTATTTTAATAACGAAGGTTTGGAACTGATTGTTTGATTATTAAAACTTCAAAGCCTTCCCTTGAAACCACCATGTGTCACAAACAATCAGTATCTCGACTAAGTAGATCATTGAGAATCCCATTTTCCGGCCCCGATCTTCCCCATTCATTGTCAAATCCTCCTCATTATGAGCCAATTAGGAGTCGTAAGATGAGATGAAACGAGGTAAAAACTAGAGAATTCGACAGATGTTATTTTGGTGACAGTTGGTATGGGTGCCTACAGATTATTAAGCTTCCTAGGCTGTTCCACGGGAGTCTCAGATTCCAGTTTACTATAGTTTCAGTTTCACACTCCTCGTTGTTTCTTCTTCAAAATCGCAACTAACTTTTTTGCTTGAGTGTCAGTTGTTTCGGTAATTCATCACTCAGCAACCCTTTCCCAATCTCTTTTTGTTCGGGAATGGGTTCGTTTTAGTTACAAACATTCGCTTCTCATTTTTTGGGCGACTAGTTCAAGAAGTGAATCTCTTAAGACCCCATTCCCACCCTCTTCCTTTTTCAAAAAAAATGAGAAAAGGCACCTGAGAGTGGAGCGGAGCTTACTTCTAATTGCTCATGCCATTTGTCAAAACGACGATGATCTATGAGGACAAGGCCGCAGTAGTTTGGGAAGAAAGAAATGGATTAATGATGATGCCTTTGGAGCACCATTTAAAGGATATATTCTATATTTAGCAGTGAACGTTTTTATGGGGTTCCTGAGGGAAGAGAAAGAGTGACGCAACCTGAGATTGGATGCTTTTAAAATACCTAATTACAGAAAGTGCGTGCTTCTCCACTGCTGCCAAACTCATCGTCCCTGGAGTCGTTGTTCCTGGAACGCTATCTGTGACCGCTTCAGATCTATTCTTCGATGCGAACGAATCTGATCCAAACTACAAGAAACAGTGTGCTCAGGTAATTAGGGTACAAAAAAATTTATTATGAGAAAAAAAGAAGGAAATACCTGTATCAAATCGGTGAGAAAGAATGAAAAGAGAACAGAGTGAAGAGAAAAAGAAAAAGGGGTATCAATCATAAAGTTTGCAAAGCATTCGGGTCAATCATAAGTTTGCGAACAAGGTGCCAGGTGAGTTTGGCAGAATGTTCGATTGTGTGGGTTGGTTTTGCACGGAGTAAATCCAACGATGGGAGGAAATAATGAGCACATCGGCGACATTGGAGACAGCTGACAAGTTGTAGGAGAACACCTGAAAGTCGTATTTCGTTTCAGTTTCTGATCAGAATCCAAATCTTTTTTTTCTACCAACACCTCATAGTCAGTTTCAAACGTTTTTTTTCTATGAATTGAAATCGTTTCCTCACTGTATGTCATACCTCAAAACCTAATTCGGTATGACATCTTTTGTCTATGCCCTCCTTCATTTTCACACTGTCTGCTCTTCACTTCTTCAAAGATTTCACGCCACTAGTTGATTAGGAGGGAAAATAAGATGAATATAACGTATATGCAATATACAAAGAGAACAAACTCCCTCCGTTTTTTTTTCCTTTCCGTGTAGGCACTTTCCGGTTGAACACGAAGGAATCCATTAGGAATGCATGCCGAGGCTCTCAGAAATAGAAAGAAAAAATAGGGAGGGCAGCACCTAGGAAGATGGATAGAAGCAGGAGCAAGAAAAAAACGAAGGCGTCGTTCTTCTTTTGTCACGCAATGCTTTTTTAACGGCTTCTGTGGAAGTTAAAAACGACAAGTCACAGAATTGTCATCAGAAGAAGAGTACATTTTAGAATGAAAAAATGTTGTGATAGCCAACACTACTTTAATTTCAAATTATTGAAATACTCACCAACGAGACGATCTCCAATGTTTGTGTCTTCCCATTCATACTCACTACAGTGCTTCTCACATTCGTACAGAACAAGAGTCTTCAGGATATAGTTCGTTACTGGTGTCCCAGGAAAGTCCATATGAGCATCTCGTAGGCATTTCAGAATGCTCAAAGTTTTCTGTCTGCCTCCAGTCAGGAGCATGTTCTCGGCTCCGTGCATCTTCATTGCCCAAGCGTCCGCTTCCATTGTGCTAGCCTGTTTATTCGGATTGTTATGCTGAGTAATTGCAGTTTCTCGACTAGTCAGATCGAATCCTTCTGCTTTTGTTTGATTAGCCAATGCCGTATTCGGCCATGGTAGACCAGCTAAAGGCCAATGACTGGCTGATCTAGGCCAAATTCCATTACATCGAAATGCACAAGTGATTTGAACCGTGTACTTATCATCCACTCTTACTCGTACATCAGTGTTGTCTTGTAGAAGTTTACAGTATTCGCTGAAGTTTTACAAAAACGTGATTAGTGCTTTTTTTGAATTACCTAAATTGTGGAGTCTGGAGAACTTGGGCAACAATGTTTTGGAATCGGTGACGAATTTTTCGAGCCGAAAGATATCCCGAAGCCGTTATGAATTCCACCCATAAAGACATGGATCTTTTTCGACCATCACTCAGCTTTAATACGGCACAACCTTGAATGGTTCCATCATCCACGAAATTGAAGACACCCATTTGGTTAAGATATAGAACTGCTTCATATTCAGATGGAGAATGTACCACAATCTAAAGTTTAAAGGCGTATTCAAAAATTCCTTTTCAACATACCCCGTCAAATCTACCAGTAGAAGTTTCAGTGAGAGTATTGATGAATCTTGGTTCCTGTGCTTCAACTTCTTTCAAGATTTCCTGAACAACCTTTGCGATTCTGTGAACATTCTTTGTTACTCGAGCTTTCCGTTGTTGAACTTTTTCGTTATAGAACGTATTTACCTAGATATGAGAAAATATGATTAATTGATAAGTTCATCTCACCTGGTAAACAACGTTCTGGTTGTGGCCGAGCATGTCGGTAGAACTAGAGAAGAAGGAAACAACACACTCACTGAAAGATGAATTTGTACTCTTCTTCGGAAGATGACGAAGATGATGGGCAGCTACAGACGGACGAAACGAGTGGACTCCTCAGGCAGAAAGTGGGCGGAGTCAGGAAGAAGTAAGGGAGGCGGAGACGTAGATGTGTATACAGATTGTTTCAACCTCGGAACTAGCGCCCACCACAAAGACATACTGGACACTTTTCAGTATAAGATTGAGAGAGATAAAGATAACAAGGTGTGTCAATCATTTCCCCCTACTACCCATCTTTTTCTCGTTCCGTCTCGCCGTTTTCATATCACACGCGTCTTATCATCACCTCCTGGAGGGCCAATATTACTGGGAAAAACGGCGACGACCCTAAAGAAAAATAATGGGAAAATTGATATGGGATAGGCGATTATATGATGCTGATGACATGTGATAACTTTGCGATTTATTTATGGGTCGTGTTTTTAATGGTTGAAGTTCGGATATATAGTTTTGCTGCCCTTATTCATAGGAAGAAGTAGCTGGCACTGAATGCTTGTTAGAGAATACTTCCGTAGCCTTAGTTTTTCAGCTTTTAGTCAATGATGAGCCTAATTAATTATGCTACAGTTTATCAGTATCTTCCTTAAAAAATGGACATACCGTATCCTTTTGCATCTCCTTCCGGATGAAAAGGTGCCAAGGTTCTCCGCGAGACAGGTCAGATGACCTTTTAATGCACATCCCACATCATAAGAGTTGCGTAACCGCAGACGTTTTCATACCGGAAGGAAGGAAGGAGATGAGAATGGGTTGATAAGGGTATCGTATAAGATATTAACTAGAGATCTCAAGTTTCCAGTGAAAGGTGGGAATGGGAATTTTCGGAATAATGGCGCGTCCCAAATCTGGGATTTCTGGGCCCAGAAATCCCAGATTAGGGAACTTTGGACGCGCCATAAAGTTGGGAATTTTGGATCACAGAAAATTTAAACGGATTCAAGTACAGTAGCAAACAAGATGAAGTTAAGGCTTCCAGAGTCATGACTGGTTAAGAAGTTGAAACATCTAGGGGAATGATGTAGAAAATTCGATCCAAAAAAATGGATGAGACTAGTTGAAAAGTGTCATGCATCACGCGATACTCCATCTATGTTCACAATTCAACAGACATATATCAGTCTAGGCAAAATGTGCCATGATTTCAACCTATTTATTTCTCTTCACCATATATAATCGGTGAGTGCAATTGCCCGTTCTCTTCCCAACACGCCCATCATAATTATCTGTGTGAGTGACCATCCGCTTCAGCAAGCACCACTCTCTTCTTTTCCTCGGTAGCTCAATCATTATTATTGTTATTAATGGGGTATAGAAAGTAAAACCAAAAGGTTATGATTAAAAGCACTGAATCATCGTGCGAGTAAAGCATATCGAGTACGGGTTTCTTAAATGGATAACTTTTTAGGTTCTCCGGTACTGTGAAGCATTACATGCAAGATGGAATCTCCAGGAAATTCGAGCGATTTTCCTCCGCCGTTACCTTCTTCAGAACACAGCTCTCGAAATGTTTTTGGCATCAAGAAGTATAGTTTATCACATTTCTTCGGATAAATCAATCTTAATTTCAGCTGCCATAATGTTTGCGTTTGATTCGGAAGATACCGTAAGAAAAGTGGTTTATCAACTACCAAGAGTTGGCGTTGGAGTCAAATATGGCCTCCCTCAATCTAGAAAAACATCGCTCATGACTCCGCGTCAATTGTTCAAGCATTCCGATATGTGTGCTAAATGGCAGAAAAGAGAGATTTCTAACTTTGACTATCTGATGTTCCTGAATACAGTTGCTGGACGCACGTTTAACGATCTGAGCCAATATCCGGTTTTCCCGTGGATTTTAACAAATTACACCTCGGATACACTTGATTTAAGTGTTGCTTCCAATTTCAGAGATTTGTCAAAGGTAGATTAAAAGTTTTGTTGGTTTCCTTCAAATTTATTTTTCAGCCCATCGGAGCATTGAATGAAGCACGACGCAAATTTTTCACTGACAGATACGCAAGCTGGGATGATGATCTAGTTCCAGCCTTCCACTACGGAACTCATTATTCTACACCTGCGTTCACACTGAACTGGCTTCTCAGATTGGTTTGTCTTGCCACTGATATTTCTAAATGTTAATTTCTGATTTTCAGGAACCATTCGCTTCGATGTTTATAAACCTTCACGATGGAAAGTTTGACCATCCAGATCGTATCACACATTCAATCAAAGACAGCTGGGACCGGTGTCAACGAGACTCTCACGATGTGAAAGAGTTGATTCCAGAACTGTTCTACCTTCCAGAAATGTTCCGAAACTCGTCGAAATTCAATCTTGGAAGACGAGCTGACGGAACTCTCGTGGATGATGTTGTGTTACCTCCGTGGGCTGAATCTCCTGAACACTTTGTACTCATGCATAGACAAGCTCTTGAATCTGATCTGGTATCATGCCAACTGAATCAGTGGATTGACTTGATTTTCGGATATAAACAACGCGGCGCAGAAGCAGTTCGTGCTACTAATGTCTTCTATCACTTGACATATGAAGGAACAGTGACTCAAAAAATGGCTGAAACACCCGGACAAGTATCTGCAATTGAGCAGCAGATTCTTTCTTTTGGACAAACACCGTCCCAACTACTCGCAGAAGCTCATCCACCAAGACATTCTATTATGACAATGGCACCAACAATGTTCAGAAGACACGATGATGATCTGTGCATGATGATGAAATACATTTCAAATAGTCCAGTTGTGTACCTTGCTGCCAACACTTTCCATCAACTACCACATCCTACCGTTGTTGGAGTTGCTCAAAATCTAGTGTTTTCGTTGAATAAGTGGGATAACTCTTATAGTTGTGAGTCTTAATAAGACATTTCTTACACCAGGCCGATATTTTCAGACGGATCCACCCAAAGAAGCGCTCTCTCAATGGATCCATCAAACGTTGAAGGGCAAGTAGCCCTTCCTCTGACGGCTGATCCTCAATTGGCCACAGCGGCTTCTACGACTCCAATTGCACGTCGTCATCTGGGTGATGCATTCGATCAAAGACTTCAAGTACAATGCTCGAATTTCGTTACAACCACTGACAGTAAATATATCTTCGCTTGTGGTTATCCTGATTATAGTTTCCGAATTGTAGACACCGACTCTGGTTCGTAATCTGGTTTCATTTATTGATTCAGAAAAGTGTTTTCCAGGTCGAGTTCGTCAAGCAGTTTACGGTCATGGAGATGTTGTGACCTGCATCGCTCGAAGTGAAACGAGTTTGTTCAGTGACTGTTACGTTGTCACAGGAAGTATGGATTGTACAGTTGTTCTCTGGCATTGGAATGGAACGGTACGTTTTTCTTTCATTCGATTTATCGAGAAAAAAAATTACAGACTGGATTCATTGCTGGCGAATATAATCAACCTGGAGAAGTACCGTCTCCTCGTTCCATTCTAACCGGTCACGAAGCTTCAATCTCTGCACTTTGCGTTTCTGCCGAGCACGGTTTAGTTGTCAGTGGTTGTGAAGATGGTGTTATACTCATTCACACAACCGCATCTGATTTGCTCCGACGCATCCGAGGACACGGAACTGTTACCCAATTATCGATGAGTCGAGAATGCATTCTTCTTGTTCTGTTTGACTCAAAACGAATGACAACGTATTCATCGACGGCTAGAAAACTGAATGAAGTTTTATCAGAGGAAAAGTGAGTGGTTAAGGTTCATAAAATACATTCGATCGAGTGGTTTTCAGAATTGAATGTGTAACAGTCACTCGCGATGGAGAGTTTGCAGTGACGGGAGCAGTGAACGGACGGATTACAATTTGGAGAATGTTCCCACTAAACAAGTTGTATACATATCAAGTAAGGAATGAGTTTTGCCGAAATCATATAAATCATTGATTTTCAGCCACTCAATAGTGCCGTTAGATCTGTAGCAGTAGTAGCCTCTCATCGATTCATTTTGGGTGGTTTAGACTCTGGAGCAATCGTCGTTTTTAATGCGGATTTCAATCGCTGGCATTACGAATACAAACATCGTTACATCCAGAACAGTTCGGCAACGAAGCCGGCTCAAGCGTCACCTCAAAAATGAATTCAAGATTTCAGTGTATAAATTATTTAATGTTCCGGGGACGGTTTTCATAGTTTCAATAAGTCAATTGTGATATCATTTATACTGTGGTTGTGATTGTTATCGTCTTCTGGTCCGTACAGATTTTGCTAACAGCTAATATTTTTTCTAATGTATTGCATTGTTTTTTTTTTCAAATTTATATTCCTTTCCTAATGGTCGCTCGATCTTTTTTCTCACTCCTGCTCCGAAAATCATCAAATTTCGTGTAATAAATTGATTTTAATAATTTAAAATGTTTTTTTTTTAATTTATGTGAAAGAATTGAATAGTTAACTGAAAAATGCACAACAATGCGTTCGAATATCGCATCACTCCTACTTACTCAAAGGAACATATTCGGTAGCAACAGAGTGGTCTCGACACGCGTACAGTACTCCGTCTTTCAATTTTGCGCGGCTTGCTTGCGAGTTTTTCCTGTTTCCTGAGCGATTCCTTTGACGGGAATGCGGTTTTGCTCGGTTCGACAACGATATTTTGAGCATTAACTTTTTTTGAAACATAAAAGTGAAGTTCTGGTCAAAATAGTTTATTTTTCAGATGTTGAGCCGTTTGTCTTCCCCACAACTATGTTCTCGCATTGTAGTGGTCACTCGGGGAGTCGCTAGTGCAGGACGTTAGTTTTACTTATCAAATCTTTAATTTTGATAGCATTGCAGAAGTCACGGCTCATTCGTCGGATAACAGCATTGGCTTTTTCGAGAAGATTTCCTACCGGTTCAAAGGTTTGTTATCATAGATTATCATTACGAACACAATAATTATTGCAGGAGTTCCTCTGCCAACAGAGACTGAAGCACCAAAGTCAATGTTTGACGCTTGCAATAAGGAATGGTCGGCTCCTGAATTGCTCCCCGCTGTTCCGAAGGATTTCAAAGAGCATCCAGATCGTGATTTGACCAACTATCCGTACCCGTCGCGACCAATGTACCCTCCAAAAACTCGTCTTCTGATGATGCCTGATTCTTGGTTCACTGCATTCCAAAAGGTTACTGGAACTTCTGGACCATACCTTTTCTTCGGAGGATTGTTCGCTTTCCTTGTCAACAAGGAGTTGTGGGTGTTCGAAGAGCAAGGTCACATGACTGTTGGATGGATTCTTTTCTACCTCCTCGTATCCAGAACAGCCGGGTGTATGTTAAGAATTCGAGTTTTCAGGAAACCATATATTTACAGATAAAATTGATGCTGGGTTGTACAAGGATTATCAAGATCGTGTTGGATTCTTCAAAGGACTCATTCAAGAAGATCTCAAAGAAGCCGTCGAATTCCGCAAGACTTCAGCACAGCAAACTGAATCATTGAATGCGCTTAAAGAAAGTTTGCCAACTTCATTCAAGGAATCCATGCAATTACAGCTGGAAGCCGCTTATAGGTAGGTGAAATTGAACAATACGAAGTGGCTGTGATTCAGAGAGTTCTGTATTTGTTTTTACGAACTAGAAAAATCATTTTCAGAAAAAACGTCCAAAATATTTCTGGCGAAATCAAGCGTCGCATCGATTACTTGAAGGAAACTGAGGAAACTAAAGCTAGATTTGAACGCGACCAGCTCCTGAAACTCATCAACGAGAGTGTCGAAAAGCAAGTTTCGCAAAAGGATTTCCAAGAAAAATTCCTCCAAAACGCCATCCAACAGCTCAAGGGTATTGCCGTCTAACAAGAATCTCTTCTTACGTGTCTATTGTCGCTGATTGATTTTCGGAGGCAACATATACATCGATTGTAATAGTAGCATCGTTTTCGTTTTCATAAAGTGTTGCTTTTTTCTTCTATTACTGTCATTTTTAACAGGAGGTATCGTCCTCGCTTGTACCAGAATCATGGCTATGATTTAAAAACAATGTTTTACAAAATAATTTATTCAGAATGGAGCCAGAGATTGGTAGTGGTACATCTGATGAAAGCGAAACTCAACAAAACATGTCCGATGAAAATAACAGTCCCGAACAGAAAGTGGTATTGAGTTTTTGTAATAGAGAATAGAGAACATTCATATTCAGGTCCGAGAACGGAAACCATTGGTAGGAATACCATTGGAATCGAATACGCGTTTGAAGATCGCTGTCAAGAAGCTACATGTGAGTGACTATCACAAACCAGTTTTCATTCTCTTTATTAAATAGGTCTGTGGTGAATGGAAGTGGCTGCAGGGAGGAGAGGATACGTGTGGAATTTGTCGAATGGAGTTCGAATCAGCATGCAATATGTGCAAATTCCCAGGAGATGATTGCCCGCTCGTTGTTGGAACCTGTAGACATGCGTTTCATCGTCATTGCATTGAAAAATGGATTGCTGCTCCATCAAATCAACCAAGAGCTCAATGCCCGCTCTGTCGGCAAGACTGGCAAATTGCTGATTAATTTCAACTTCAGTGTATAAGCTCAAACTTTGTTTAAAACGGTCCCATCAAGCTTTGAATATAAGTCCCGATTGAAGCTAACATAATGTCGAGTTTAAAAAAAAACTGATACTTGAGATTTTGGGAAAATCCTACTAACTGCACAGAAATAAATTTCGCTGTATACAGTATCGGTTTCGGGACGGAGTCTCGTAAATCCCAAAAAAAAAAAACAAAAAAGGTACCAGTTCACTTTCAATTCGACAATATCACCTCATTATTAGAGTAACGTGTCGACAGAGACTCGTGTCGATTAGAAGAAAAAATGACTGAAAAATTGAATCGAAACGAGTCGACACAGAGTCGACACGACACTGGCCTAACTTTATGATGACCTAACTGTTGCAAGTTGAATTTTCTAGGTCACTAAAGTTTACGACCTAGAAATTGTCTATCATGATCCCGGTGTGAATTCTAGGCCATTTACCATTGTGGCCTAGAAAACTCAACTTATAAAAGTTAGGCCACCATGTTAAAATGGCCTGGAAAACACATTAGATGAAAATTATATCATTTGAAGCAGAAATGTCCGCAATCATCCATACAAAACGAAGAATAAATTATTGCGGTTCTTTTGAGCTATAGAACTCCTAGAAATGTCAAAAACTGAAAGAGGAGATACGATTTTTTCTGAAAAATTTCAAAATGACCATTTTTGAAATTCTTTCTTCCGGAAAAGGACCATAAAGAATTTTATATTATTGTTGTGCGAAAAAATTGGAGTCGAGACGCAGACAGTCGAACAAAAAATTTCTCTGCGTCTCCACCGAGAATGTGCTATTACCGCTTCGAGGTGCATATCGTATTCAGACTGCAAAAAATACTCTCTAACTCCAATTTTTTCGGACAACAATAATATTGCATCACTGCATGTATCATTTTTTAAAATTTCATACATCTCTGTTAAATGATCTTCACTCTCTCTAATGTGTAATTCTTATTTTGTATCTGAATAAACGTTGCCTTAAAACATGAATTCGTTCGTATTCAGTCGCCGACACACTGCGATTTTTTGCACATTAGTTGCAACTATTCGAAAATGGCGGGGTTAGCTAGATGATTTGATTCTCAAACGCTTTGGAAGTCCCAGTGTGGCTACAGAAGGAGGCAACTACCGCTTGGGTGTGTTTCAGAGATTTCAGGAGTTCCGAGGCATTCATTAACTTCCGTCGTCCGACTCTTAGTTTAAAATTCCACTTCCTGCTCATGTGCTAGAGTTTCCTCATTCTCAGAGTCTCAATTGAATTGATTTGCTAACATTTTTGGGTCCATACCAGGCTTGCTCGGAAAACCCTAACCGGAAAATCGGATACCCGAATTTTTTCCTGAAGTCACATTTAAATTATGTAATTAAGACATTGAACTCTTATTTTCTTATCAGGCATTTTCCCTCAATTTCTTATAAGATATATATTTATATAGGTTATTTCAACTGGATCAGAGCCAGTAATTGTGCCCCTAAGCGAAAATTTGTGCCCCTTAAGCATCTCTCATTTTTACCCGGGGAAATAACTATGTACCCCATAATCAAACCAGGTTGTACCCCCTAAGAATTTGTGCCCCCAAATCATTGAGCCGCCTTGGTTTTGTACCCCCAAATCACACTTTTTGTACCCCCTAATCTTTGTGCCTCCAAAGTTAAGTGCCATTTTCCATAAAACTTTTTCTTCAGAAAAAATCGGAAATTTTTTTCGGAAAACAGAATTCGGAAAATTCGGAATTCCGTCGGAAAATTTTTTCCGAAAAAAATCGGATTATCCGTTTTCCGACTCCGAGCAAGCCTGGTTCATTCTCCGGGGTGAGGAACAACTTGTTCACGGCACGGTCTCCCACAGAACATTTCCGAATTGCAAACAGAACATTTCCGAATTGTATGGTCCTTTTCCGGAAGAAAAAGTTTCAAAAATGGTCATTTTTGAAAATTTTTTACAGAAAAAATGTATCTCCTATTTCAGTTTTTGACATTTCTAGGAGTTCTATAGCTCAAAAGAACCGGAATAATTTATTCTTCATTGTGTATGGATGAATTTTGTGATTCGTCTGATTGTCTGATAAAACTTTTTTATAATCAAAAAACCGCACGAAATTGCACAAAATCGCATTTTTGCGTTGTTTTGTGATTATAAAAAAGTTTTATCAGACGAATCAAAAATTCATCCATACAAAACGAAGAATAAATTATTGCGGTTCTTTTGAGCTATAGAACTCCTAGAAATGCCAAAAACTGAAAGAGGAGATACGTTGTTTTTTTTTGAAAAAACTTTCAAAATGACCATTTTTGAAATTCTTTCTTCCGGAAAAGGACCATAAAGGATTCTATATTATTGTTGTGCGAAAAAATTGGAGTGGAGACGCAGACAGTCGAACAAAAAATTTCTCTGCGTCTCCACCGAGTATGCGCTATTTAGGCTTGCCGCTTCGAGGTGCATAATCAATCTCCACAAAATCAGATAAAAAATTCTGAAATTATGGTTCTAGGCCTGCAATTGTGATCGCGCCAAACTTTTTTTCTGTAGATCACCGTGCTCGGGGTACTTTGATTCAGTACATTTTCTGAAGGGGCAAAAATCCAAATAGTCAATGCGGTAGGAAGATGTAAAGGTTTATTCAATTCGCAAATTGAAATAGAATGAAAATAATGATATAAAGAGACCAATATATACTCAAAGACATCTGAACCGGCATGAGCAATCAGTAAAAAGTTGAATTGCCACGTTCAACGACATCAATATCCGACAATGACCTTTTCTCCTCCTTCCGGATGCTGACACCGTCCACGCATCATCTCGTAAACTTGCTGCTTGATCCACGCACGAGTGCGACCGATGTACTGCCCGGTTTCCTGAAGGAAAAAAATTCACAATTCAAGTGTGAACAGAAACGCTGCTATTTAGCGTAGTTTTTGTGTAACTTACACGGTTGAAGATCATCATTGAAATATCGGAAAGCTTATCAAGGAACTCGTAGACTTGAGAGCATCGTAGGTGACTGGGCAGGCAGATTTTTTTGATAGGAACTCTTCGAACATGTTACAAATAGCATCCAGTGCGTCTGTGACACTCTCGTAGTCGCCCCAGGTGCGAGAATCGAGACGTGAAGACGTCTGAATGAGGAGAACGGTATGGGAAGAAGTAGAGGACATGCCTGAAAACAATTATGATAAAATGAAAACCCACAGAAAAAAATGAAAATAAACATTCGGGTGTCAACCAGAATTAAAAAAAAAGAAAAAACAAAGTTACAGTATTCCATCGATTTTTTTCAGTTAGAGGTCCTATAAAACAATTTAAGGCAATGGAAATATCCATATTTAATCATAATAACCAGATGAAGATTAAAAAAACCACTTTAAGGCAAAGACAAAAAATGTCAATGAAAAAAAAATTTAACATATTGGCAGAGATTGTGAGGTGTCAAAGTAACTGGTATGAGTATCAATTCTTTGAAATTTCATCAGGAGAATTAGAAATGAGGCTGAACCCGTTTTGTAAAAAGTAAGAAAGGCCATGAAAATTGGTAAAACAGAAGCTTCTAGTCTTCAAAGTCGTATTCGTCATCATCGACCGGCTTGTTATCATTGGATGGACCCGTTGTTTTTGGAGACAATGTTTTTGGAGATGAGTTGGTAGTGTTAGACTTTTTGGTAGGCGGAGATGCCTGAAATATACTTTTGAAAATGAAGTTAATCAGAAATGTTACCCCATCTGGTCCGGTGTTTCTTTCTCTTTTCGGACTTCGAGTGGACGCGGAAGACGAACGCTCGACAAGACGAGGATTCGGAATTTTCATATCTGAGATTTCAATGCATTCATAAATGCACAACTTAATGCGTAAAACTTACGAATAGCACGAGACCCTGGTCTAGTAGAAACAGCCCGTTCTGTTGCATTGTCCTCTGCCGTTGTCCTCGATTGAGATGTAGAAGGTTCTGGTGTTTCCCGAGTCGTATGGTTCATTTCCTTTCTCACTCGTCCCTCTACGCTCACAATTTTTTCAGCCTTGGAAATTTCATTCGATGATGGGAAATTAACATATTGCTTCTCTTGCGCAGTGATCTCCTTGTGTTGTCGGCTGACGGTTTCGTTGAAACGCTCGGTGACTTCCTCGGGGAGTGTACATGTTATTTGCCCCAAACTTGCCGAGATACTTTTCGCCAGCTCACAAACGCTTTGTGGATCAATGGCGACGTTTTTAGTACATCCATCCACTTTGTAAATTCCGACAAGACGGTTCGCTAACTCGAACATGTTATTTCTCAGGGAAATAATGATGAACTGGGCATTTTCCGTCTTCTGGCGAACGTACTGAGCAATGATGGATACGTTGCGATAGTCAAGCGCAGCATCAATTTCGTCCATTACATAGAAAGGAGTTGGTCTGAAATCGAATTTTTCACATCAGGATAAAATTCTTCATGTACCTGAACATGTGCAAAGCGAAAATGAGAGCCAGTGAAGAAAGAGTCTTCTCTCCTCCTGAGAGGTACTGAATCTGTTTCCAAGCTTTTTTGGCAGGACGAACCCTAGAAGAAAAGATGAAATCAAAATAAAAAATAATGAAATCCGAACGAACATAAAACTGATTCCCTCTTTGAACGGATCGTCTTTATCGATATATTCCAATTTGGCATCTCCACCGTCAGTCAACATTTTGTAAACAGCTACCAAATGTTTTCCGATGAATTCGAACGCCGACTATAAGAAAAATATTTCTCATTAGTTTTTATTCCAATGCAACTTACATGGAACTCTTCAAGCCGATCTTTTTTGAGCTTTTGAAGTCTCTCGTTGTGTCGTCTAAAATTCGCATTCACTTCGGCAAGCTTCACAACTTCTTCATTAAATTGGTTCACTTTGATCACATAAGTGGCAATACAAGATAAGTCCACATTTTGCTTCGCTGTTTCAAGAGCTAGTTTACACTGTTGCAGATTATGTTGCAATTGTTTTGCGTCGTGGTCTGTGATTTCATCCACTTGTTCCGGCGCTAGCAACTCAACTGGAATCTTCGTGTCAACGTCAACGTTTTCGTATTCTTCCGTATCTTCCTCTCCCTTCCGCCTAAGTCCATATTCCAGAGCATAGGCGCGATCACTGATAGCTGAAGCAATGTGTTTCCTATGTCTTTCAGCTTCTTCGGGACTCTGATTCTCATCGACAGGTAAATCATCTACTTGCATCGTGAGATCTTCTGGTCTACTAGATTCAATAAGAAATTGGAATCGTGGAATACGATTGATTTGAAGACCGGATAACTGAAAAATAAGGTGGAATTTCATAAAGCTATGCATTCACTTACTCTTTTTTCGATTTCGTTGGTTTTGGCTGCATAACCTGCCAAAGAGTCTTTCAGCTCTTTCATTGCTTCTTCCAGTACCTTCAATTCAAGACTCAATTTCGTTTCATCTTCTGACAATGCCGACTGCTTCTTTGTCAACTCATTGTACTTCTCCTCCCATTCCTTTCTCTTCTTGCTTAATTCATCAATATCTGATTTCTTTGTGGCCAAACCTTCCTCGTCTATCGCTTTCTCTTTCAACTCATCACACATTCGAGTCTTCTTTTCCTTATCTTTTGTTAATCTAGCAATATTTTCATCGCATTTTGCAATGTTTCTTGCAGAATTCGCCACACTCGCTTGCTCTTTGGCCGTATCCTTCTCAATTTTTTGGCATTTTTGCGAAGCGTCTTTGGCCTCATCTCGATGACAACCAACGAGCTCCTTGAAAATGTCGTCGAGCTTAGACTGAATTTGGGCTTGTTGCTCTTTATATCCGGCAGATTTCTCTTTGAGCTCGTTACTTTCTGAAATTTTACATTTTGATCGGCTATTTTGGTTTTACTTACTTTTTTCCACCTCCTCTACCACTTTTTGTTTTGTCTCGATGTCCTTCTCATCTACTTTCACTTTCGTCACCTCCTTTTCCTGAGCTTGAATAGCTTTTTTGAGATTTTCTACAGTTGTTCCCTCCGCGTCGACCGATCCAGTCAGAGTGTCTAATCTTTTACTTGATTGAGCAACTTCGTGCCGAATTCGAGTCAATTCGCTATCAAGCTGAAATACACAACTAATGAATGAAATGATGTATAAAATTCACCTTCTGTTCTTCTTGCCTCAAACTATCCGATTTTTGTTTCAGCTGTGTTACTTCTTCGGTTAGTTTTTTCTCCAAGTCTTTGTCTTGTGGAGTTACTTGCTTCGGCTTTTTGCTTTTATCCGTCTCGATATCTCCATATCTCGGACTTCCTCCTCCCGTGATATTTCCTGTGACAGAAACCAAAGACCCTTGAAGTGTGCAGACGGCCTTTCCGGATGTTTTGTTCATTTCGATAGCCTCTTTGGTATCCTTGGCAACGAGGACGTCACGAATTTCTTTGAAAATGATCGCCTTGATTTCTGGGTTGTCGCATTCAATCAGGTCAATGAGACGGGGACCAGGGTTAGTTCCTGGAGGCACTGGTGTTAGAAGATTCATATCACAAAACTTGTAGCGATCCAAAGATACAACGTATTGACGTCCGAGTTTCTCCTGAAATTCATTTTACTTACAGTCGGCATTTGAACTTCATCATTCGAATAACGATGGGGAAACATTGGTTTGAAAAACGTTTTTGTCTATTTAAGCTGGAAAACAAGAAGAAGCTTCCGGATGTGATTTGTAATGTTTGGGCCTTTTTTTCAAAATGCGACCTAAATCTAATTCGAAAACTAAAAAATTTTAGAAGTTTTAGTTTTCTAAAAATTTTTACAATAGGGAAGTGTGGTGTTCGACTGTATAAAAAAAATGATAAAACTGGAAACGCTGAACAAGTTAAAAATGTACAAACCGAATTCGCAATATCGATGATTCTGGCACTGTCGGATTCGTCACGGCAAACTAATTGTTTCAAAACAGCACCATAGTTAGTGCAAATGGCAGCCTCGTACTTCTTATCAATGAAAGCAAGTTCACCAACTCGACCAACAAAACTTTTAAGTCGGCCTGCCTCTCTTTCTCTCGCAATGGCTTTCATAACTTGGCTGGATCCGACAGACGCAGCATTCTGTTGACGAATGCCTTCGAGTTGAGAGTTGATTTGTGAGATCTGAAAAAAGGACATCTTGAAAGAACTAGGAAAATGAAGCACTGACTTTGACATTCGTTTGTCTATAATCGTTGCGGACTCCTGGGAGTTTCGTTTCTAGATCATTCTTTCTTTCTCTTAATGTTCCAACTGCTGGCTTCAGTTTTTCCAACTCTGCTTTATCTTCATTGTACTTTTCTTCAGAAGCTTGCAGTTGTTCCTTCAACTTTTCGAGTTTTCTTGATCCAGACGTAGCCGCGGTTTTCATATCCTCGAAATCAGACCTTGCCAGAGTTGCCTCACGGCGAACGTTGATTGCCTCAGTGTTACACTCGTTCCAGGTTTCTTGAATCCGCTTTTGATCTTCTTTCAGCTTGTCAGTGCGTTTTTCAAACTCATCGAGATTTTTCGATGCTTCCTCGTTAGCTGTTTTCTCAATCTCCTTCAACTGTTCCAACTCTTCCTTCCATTTTTTAATCTTCTTTTCCGCTTTCTCTGGTACAGCGATGAGAGTCTGTTTCTTCTTCTCCTCCTTCTCTAGTTCTGCTTCAGTTTTTGAGAGATCAGTTTCATATCTTTTAATGGTTTCCTTTCTTCGCTTCTCTTCTGCTGTCAAATCATCATAATCCTTTGTCAACCGATCTATTTCCTTATCAATCTTCGACCCTTCTTTCTTCATCTTTTTCTCCTCATCTTCCATAATTGTTGCTTCAGTTTTGTTTGAGGCAATTTTCTCGGCGACTGAATTCAGTTCTTCTTCCTTTTTATCAAGCTCAGCTTGCTTGGGCGCGACTTTGTCCAAATATAACTTTCTGTAAAAATTGAATTAACTTCAAAATAGGAAACACAAAGTTCCCAACCTTCTTCTTTGGTCCAGTTTCATTTCGATAAGTGTTGCCTCATTTTCTTTTTTCAAGAACTCAATAGCAGCCCTAACTTGTCCTTCCATAGCAATTTTACTGTTTCTCGCATGATCACGAGTGATTCGTTGTTGAGTCAGATCACAGTTAATTCTGTTGACTCTTCGTTGAAAGCGCTTCACAAAAGGCTCGAGACGATTTGATCCGACAATGTCTTCTAGGTACTCCACCATTCCAGTCTCGCTCTTCGTTTGTTTCACAGGTTTCATCATGGCAATTTGCTCAACTTCGCCCTGAAAATTATTTGAAAATGTCACAAGGTCCAGTAGAAAGTAATGTTACCTGAAGAATCAAAAACCGATTGTGTTCGATATCGATATCAGCTTGGCGAAGGTGAGCTTCTACATCAGCTCTTGAAGCAGCTCTACCATTAATTGCATATGAACTTGAACTGTTTTTGTAGGCGGTTCGTGAGATTTGAAATCCGGAATCTTTCACGATTTCGTAATGGCCAGGCTAAAATGAGGAATTTTCCGGAAATTCACTTTCCCTTTACTTACCACATCATTAATTCGTTGAAAATGAATCGTGACAGTGCACGAATCAGGGTTGCGCCCGTTACTTTTATGAATCAGGTTAGCCACTTTTGCTGAACGAATTTTCGATGCCCGAAATCCGAAAACGAAAAGGAGAGAATCGATAAGATTCGATTTTCCTGAACCGTTTGGTCCAATAATTGAGGTGAAACTTTTATGAAACGGTCCAATTGATGCTTTGCCATAATAACTCTTGAAATTGTTAACTTCAACGTTCATGATCATCAAACGATCTTTCTTTGTTGTTTTTATGAGAAAGTCGGGTTTGGGTGGGATGGTCTGAAATATGCGATTCATTTGTTCATTTTTATCACACTCATTTCTCTACCAGAGCGAATAGGTCTGTATCGTCGTCTTCTCCATCACTGCCGTCGAAGATTTGATCAGCAGCTTTCTGGAAAACGGGAAAACATCTATAACAGAACCGAAAAGTTTCACAATGATCCTGATTCCCACTAATCACCTTAAGCTCTGCCTCCTGGTCTGGTGTCCCTTCTTTCTGAGCGTTCCCCCTTTTTTGGGATGTTGTCTTTTTCGTCTTTTTCTGTTTTTTTCTCTCAGGCTCGTCTTCGAAATCTGATGCCGATTCATCTGACTGGGGTGGAGGCTCGGTGGATTTCTTAGGAGGCATGTTAGCTGAAAAACAATGTGATTATGAAACTCTTCATTTCTTCGTCGAAGAAGTTTAAAAAAGAGAAATTAGACAGTTATACAATTCTGCGAACGCAAGTTCTTTCTGATAGTGAGAGCAATAATTCCGTTTCTTATAGGCTCGTTGTTACAATGATAATATAGAGTTCTTCAAACTGTTAAACGTTTCAGGAAGCGGATAGTTTTGAGAAAAAAGTAGTATTTATCGACGAGCAAACTGAAGAGGCCTTTTGCAAGCTGCGACATAATGTTTTTCAATATTTTCAGTCGAAATTAAGCTTAATTTCCTCTGAATTCTTTCATTAAAAACAACTTTTTCCGGGAGATTGTCTCAGAGGCGTGCAATGTCGGAAATTGAAGGAAGAATTGATGGAGGTCCAGCGCCAGAGAATTCGAACAAAATTTGGCGCGCGCGCTTTGATGGGTCCGCAAACACTTCCACGCGAATGTGAAGATTTTTATTCATGATTTGCTTTTTTGACACTCCACCAATTCCGAGAAAGGGTTGTCTCCGAGGAGCCGATTCCGAGGAAATCGGGGCGGAGTTTCAACTTCAGTGCCGCAGGTGAACTGTGCGGCTTTTTTTGCTTGTTCTTCAAACAAATGAAGGACATTTTTCGCATGAATGAATAGGTTTGAAAACCGAAAATAAAACAAATTTTTATGTCATGAATAACCCCATATGCCGAAGCTGTGCATTTCTCCCGAGTTTTTTGCGTTTTCGTAGCTTTGTACACTTTGTATGACATAAGGCTTTGCCACATCTAGATTTTTGAGACTCCACCGATTCCGAGGAAGGGGTTGTCTCCGAGGAACCGGTACCGAG